GCAGATGGAGAACAGCATCTCAGCTGTCAGTGGGATAATTGGGTTTTTTTCCCCTGAGCAATAGAGCCTTTCTGATCGATGCTGCTTTCCTGGTTTTAACGTTATTTTAGGAGAGTTTATGCTTGGAATTTTACAGTAAATTTCAGTCAGCTTATCTTCATTAAAAATGCTGCAGTTTTTCTTTGAGGAAACTAAATTGTATGTAGTTCTAAGAGAAGAAAAAAAAAAAGCTGTTAGCAAAAGACTGTTCATCTACGATTTAAACAGTGAGGTAAGTTCAAAGAACCATAAATCAGAGACACGTTGTGCAGGGGTGAGACTCTGGGTGCCGTGCTGTGTCTGGCTCAGCCATTCCTCTGACCTCTCCTGAGCCTGGCGAGGCAGCGGCTCCAAACACGCACCCACAGCGTTGCGCTTAGAGACAGGGTTTGTTCACTGATGTGAGGCAGCAACCTGCAATGGGGCTGCTCTGTTTCAAAATCTGAACTGGTGTACCAGAATAGAACCGCATGTGCAAGCTCTGGTACAGCCAGAGAGGTTGTACACTGTGGACACAGTTAAGATCAACTGTAGACAAGAGTGGTGGGCTGAGCTCAGCAAGAGTACTTCTGGATAAAACTAAATTATTGCAAAATTGTATTATAATTTGTGCATGGTCATCATTCTGTGATAACTGAAAAGAAAGACAAAAAGATTTGGCTCAGAATCTGCTAGTTAGCCTCTGCTAACTCCTGCATTTAATGTGCAAAAGGCAAGGAAAACAGGAACAGTAGGAATGGAATTTATAGCGGAGATCAAATTTCATTAAAGGAAGACTCATCCACCCTCAAAAAAGGTTTCGAGTGTAGTTACATAATTAGCAGTGAAGCTGTCTCTTCATGTCGTTGTTTTATTTCACCGCTCTGCTTACATTGTTGGTTTAAAAAAGGGAAATAAATTATGTTTATCAAAAAACATTTTTGCTTAGCTTCAAAACATAAAAATATTGTCAGTAACTTGTAGATGAAGAGGAAGCAGTTGTTGATAGAAATATACAAATATGTTTACTGCTGATCAGTTGCTGCTTGGTTTTTAAGGTCTACATTTTTGTTCCTTTATTCCTCTCTCCAGGATTTGGAATGCTTTGACTGATAATTATGGTAACGTAATGCCAGTTGACTGGAAATCTTCCCACACCAGAGCTTTGCACTTGCCAACACTGAATCTTTCAGAAAAAGGGGTAAGTTATGATCAGCAGAAATACCCTCTTTGGATCTTTTATACTCAGCAGCGAAATAAAACAATTTGCATTTGTATAAAAGACTATTGTTATGAAATGGCTTAAAATATTTTTAGTGCTTGGTATGAGAGATTTTTAAAAATAAAAAGTCAAACAACTATTGATGTATGTTTGCTTGTCCTCGGGTTGGAATAATTCAGGGTTTCAGATGGATTAGAGCAAGAATAATGGAAAAAATTGTAAAATGAGAAAGTGTTTCAATTAAAATCTTTCTACTGTCTGTTTCATGTTGAATGCAATTCTAGGTAAGGGAAGAAAACAGGCAGGAGTATTCTGATTTAGTAAATCCAGTGTGGACTTCTTTTAAGTTCATCTCATTCTACATTCAAGTGGAGACTAAAGTAGCTCCTCTTACAGGAGAGGTGACCCTGGCGACACTGAAGTGCAAGACTTTGTTTTGTTTTGTTTTTCTTATTTAACAAGTAGAATAGTTGTCTGGGGAGGGAGCAGGGAATGAAGAGCTTCAGGGAGGTTTATAGAAAGGGTTGTCCTCTGAGCTTCTTAAAAGTGGATTAAAACACTTCAGGAAGGAAAGCTAAGAATTATTGCCATCACCCAGGTCTTCTGAGGAAACGAGTGGCTTATCTTTTAAACATAGTGAAGTTTGGTTATGTTGTAAAAATATCTTTGTGTGTAACCTGCGCATAGGGTAGCGCTTTGACTTCTGCCTTCCGTTATGTAATCCACAGCTACTTTTTACTGTGACTGGAACAAAGGTTGTTCTGCCAAAGAGGATACTTCAGGGTTTAGTAGGGGAAGATGGCAATTTGGAGCTCACTTACTCGATTTGAGTCTGATGATTATGCCTTGAAATTGACTTTTGTTTATTCTGATTTTTATTATAGTGTTTGTTGAGATTTTCTGAGTGGTTTTAGAATAATATAAATCCTTACCTTTAAAGTAGAAAGACTTACAACTCCCCATGGTGTAACCTTGTTGTGTGACTGAAAATGGACTGGAAGACTGATGGATTTCTTGATAAGGAACTAGGTATGATATTAAAAAAAAAGTTTCATAGCCTTTTTGTAAGGTCTTAGCAAGGAGTTATGAAGGAGATACAAAAAAAAATGTAAACTGGTGTTGCTGGATTAGAAAGAATCTTAGATATGCTGCCAGTTGAGGGGAAAATCAGTGTATGGATTAAACATATCTCAAATTTTTTCAGCTTTCACTCCACCTGGCATGCCTTTTGATGTGTAAAGCCCATCTGTTTGGGAGCATTTGACATACTTTTTTCCTACTTCTCTGTTTCAGCATTATTTCTGGATATGTGACAGCACATATGGACCAGCTAGTAGCTTGTTTTAACTTTCTTACAATAAATGCTAACAGCTAAGCGACACTTCCTGGATGTGTTTGAAACTAGTAATATGCTGTTGGACTCATGCTTAAAGTATTTCTCTTCCTGTTTTAGTAGGGAAAAACGTAAAGTAAATGAGGTCAATTCATCTAATCCTTGTTGCTTCACATCACAGGTCTGTGGACACTTTTACACAGCTCTGACGGTGAAAGTAGTTGGGTGGAAGTGTTGTATAGTGGTACAAGGATCAGGATTGCACAGATGCTTGTTTATTATATTTTTGTTAGATTACTTTTAAACAGGTCATTCCCTGTTTAAAAAACAGGCATGGAGCGTGGCTGGGTGGAAGGCCAGGTGGTCCTTTTGGCATCAGCTGTAGCTTGGGCTGTTCTAGGTGGTTTATTAGCTTAAATTTTCAGAATATACTTTGATAATCTCTCAAAATGTTGTTTCTGGAGATGTCAGGAGGGGAAGCTTCCTTCTAGATAAACTGTTATCCTTGCTTACTATCCCATAGTTGTTGTCGTAATTCTATATACATGGAAGAACATTTGGGGACTGCAGACGTAAGACAGTGTCAAAACTGGGATGTATATGTGCAGTGGGTGAACAGATATTCCTAGTGGAACCTGGTCACTGCGTGGTTATAGGAATTTAGATTCTGGAAAAAAGTGGAAATTTCATTTCATTCTGATAGCTGAAAAAATACAAATGGCATGTTTTCCTGTACAGACTAGCTATCTGGGGCTGCTGCTAGCATCTTCAAAATGAACCTGAAAGCTATTAAGATTTCTGAAGAAACTAGGAAAACTGAAGAAATTACAACAAAAATTGAAAACTGATATTGTGAGACCAAGGGCGTTATGCAGCTAGTCATAATGCTTGTAAATTAGCCCAAAGATCAGTTAAAGTGATTGAGCTCAAAATGTCAAAGTTAGGGGTTGCAGCTTTTGGGGGTTGGGGGGCTTTTCTTGGTTGGTTTGGTAATAAAGTGCAAAAAAAGCAAACAACTTTGTAAATAAACAAGAGTATATCACTGTGTGAGAGTAAAATATACCTGACTGATTAAAGAGGGGACTGAAATCTTTTATTTACTGTATGTACATCTTTAGTTTTGAAGGATGAGTGTAATTTGATTGTATGTGGGTGGGAACAGCATTCCTTCTGTTTCTTTTTGAAAAGACCCTGAGATATTGTTCAATATATTTTTAAAATAATCTGAGGTGATAACCATGTTCTGTTTCTTAAAACCACTTTTCAGTGTCTTTTATTATGTGAAAAAGTAGAACTATAAAAGCATATAAAATAACGGGTTTGTGGTTAGAGTTTATAGATAGATTTTCACCCCACACTGATAAATGTCTATTTTCATTTGAGATTTAAATATCTCCATTGGATTGACTGCCTTCTGTGCAGATATCTGCATGTCATTGCGGATGTGGTCTTTATATGCTGAGGGTATTTAAAAACTTTAAAGACTGACAGCTATTTTAACTTTCTCCGGTGGCAGTTTTGATTTCAGTTGTCAAGGTACTTCAGTTTCTGGATATTTGACAGCAAGAATCATTAATCCCATTATTATGGGCAAGGAATCTGTGTCATTGTTAAAATTCAATATTAGTTCCTCTTCTGGTTTTTATATAAGTACATGTATTTTGTATATGTGTATGCACACACACAAATATGTATATATATATATTTATATAAATACACATTTTCATGCTTTCTAGGTAAATGATAACTTGAACCTTGACCTGTCAGATGATGAAGAGCTGAGAGAACAGTTGGATATGCATTCTATCATTGTTTCCTGCATCAATGATGAACCACTCTTCACAGCAGAGCAGGTAAAGGGTTCAGCAAAGACGTTGTTGGTATAGTAGTTTCGTTAGCCTATAATTATTTTTTGTTCTTCTTCCTTGCTCTTTACCATAGTTAAGATTCTTGATTGTTCTTTATTTAGGATCATAATAGTGTGTGAGATATTACTACATCATTCAGATTTGAAAAGTATTCCAGGGTTTCAGGTGAGGTTGATAGGCCAGGGTCTTTGAAATCTTCTTACACTTCTTAACCATTAATTAGTCAGAAATACTACTAAATTAAATATATGTGTTAAAAAGCAAAAATATTTTCAAAATGTTGGTGGTATTGTAGAGTTTGTAGTTTTTCAGCATGACTGTATGGTCATTCATATCTTCACATGGCTTTGCGGTCAGCGAGAATTCTTTGAAGTTTTTGTGTAATATGAGAGCAGATCAACAGTCCTGCTGCTAAGTTTTCAACTTGCTTAGTGTCTAAAGGCTTCTGTTCCAAATCCATGGATTTACCTAATTACCTTGAAAATAGCTCTTCTGAGTGAGGTTAATGACTGTCCATTAAGATCCTGCTTTAGTAAGCAAATGCAAGAATGTATTTTCTTGTTTAAATGGTTACCTGTGAACTCTGATTAACGCGCTTATAAAGAGCATGAGAGACAGGATTACTTGAACTGCCTCACCCCTTTTTTGCTGTGAGGTGGATCTCGGCAATGTCTGCAGCCTTTAAAGCTGCAGAAGTTGATCTGTTATTTATTCAGCTGTTCAGTTAATAATTTAGCCTGTAGAAATATGGTCGTTTCTATCCTGAAAAGTAAGCTCTTTATGCACAGGATTTCTGTTCTCATGCTTTCTGGCTGGCTCAGATCTTATGCCCAGGGATACGAATCAGCTTGAAGTTATGATGGACCAGTTCATAAAACTTCTCATAAGCATAGCAGATTTTCAGGTTCATTGGAGCTTTTTTTCTTATTATTTTATTTAGAGAAGTGTAGTTGGGAAGGTAGTTGATTTTTATTGTTTTGTTTTATTATTTGTTTTATTATTTGTTTTTCCTTCAACTGAATACCAAGGAAAGATATTCCAGCTCACTCTTTAGTTCTGTTCTCTTAAGCAGAACCATGTGTACCTTCATATAAAAATAACTCTGTAGTTTCAACGCACTGCTTGGTATGAGATCATCAGTTTACCTTGCAAAGGTAGGCTTATTCTCAGACAGCAAGGCTGGGGAGGAAATGTCAACATGATTTTGTTGATTCTCCTCAATCCCGTCTTGGTATTAGTTTCATCCAGCAGCACCTTCGCTAATTGAAAGTAAAAAAACCCTTGAGCTTTTAACAGCTTTGATTCAAATTGCAGGCTCTTTCTTTTCGTGCAGGGAGGGTTTTCATGAGTGTTTTCATTTTTTGAAGGTGATTGAAGAAATAGAGGAAATGATGCAGGAATCGCCTGATCCAGAAGATGATGAAACACCCACCCAATCAGATCGTCTCTCCATACTTTCTCAGGAAATTCAGACACTCAAGAGATCCAGTACAAATAACAGCTATGAAGAGAGTAAGTGATATTTATTTAGTACTTTGCTCCTATGCTTGTTGAAAATAGTTTTAAAAGGTAAGTTTGCCTTTGGTTTATAGTTTGGTTTATAGTGAGTCCTTCTAACTTGTCTGCACTCAAAAATATTTTCTAATATTTTCTAAATGCCCTGAAAGAATAAACTAGAGTTATCTTTGTCAGCTTTCATAACTTAGAATAAAAATAAAACTTTATAGAATTTCAAATTAAAGCAAATACGCTGAAGCTTGATTCACTGGAATGAGGTCCCTTCCTAGGTAAAGTGGTAAGTTGATAATTTTTATTAATTTCTGTATTTTAAAGTGAGACACTTTCTTGAGGCCAATATGCTGCATTTAAGAAGATTGGCTAAAGTTCTTGAAAGCTATGCAGTAGGTAAAGAAAATGTTTTTTCTTTGGTACTGTTTCATTCACTGCAAGGTATCTTGATACACAGTAACACAAAAATGAGGAAACAGTTGCTTTTTTTTTTTCTCTCATAAGGACCTTGCATGTTTTTCTTTCCTCCCCTTCCATCCTCTTCAAAAAGCTTAAAAGTTAAAAAAAAAAAAACCCTTTGTATCTTCTTCTACTCAAATTAAATCATCTGTTCTTCCCTATACAAAAGGAAAGGGGAAATTACATATGTAGTTTAATTGTAGTAGGTTGAGTTGTATGTAAAAGAAACCTGTGACTAATCAGTTTCATGATGGAAATTTGTTTCATCTGCATATTTGTCAAAATCAATTCTAGAAGGTGATAGGAACACAAAGAGGATTTGCTAGATGATCCTCCCACTTTAGTCCCTCTTACAAAGTTTGGTGCTTTCTTTCCTGTAGTCTGGGTCAACAATATAAATACTGTAGAAGATTCAGAATTCTGGCTGACCTTTTGTGACATAGAGTTTCTGCTACGCTTCACATTTATGGAGGAGATTCCATTTTCATGGTTGGACTCTTGGCTGTCTCAACAGATACATTTCAGGAATGTGAAAGCAAAGTGTATCCTGCTCAGCAGGGCTTCCTGCTTTACTAACAGTTCCATATGTCCTTAGGTTTGGAGCTAATCAAGCTTGCTTGGTGTTTCATATCATACTTGTTTTGCTTTGCCTCAGGTGTTCATCTTGTCTGTTGCATCTTTGCGGTTTAAAGGTCAGCCTTGACCAAACGATGCCTTGAGTTACCTTGGCAGATAATTCAACTGCTTCATCAGTTTCTCAGAATCTCCTTTCATGTCTTTCAGGTCACTCTTTTGTGAAAAGCCCTTGCTGCCTTTTTTGTGTGCGAAGCTGCTTCAGATTTGCTCTGCATCTCTCTGCAGTTGTTGCAGGGTTTCCCTAAAAACTGTTTGGCTTTTATAAGACAAGTCAGAGTTACTAATGTTCAGGATTGAGAGGAGGAAATCAAAGCTTGTATTTATTTTTTTCTTGGATAGGAAAAGATATGTATTAAGACAGTCCAAAATTAGAACTAGTTACAGCTCTGGTTACACAGGTGAGTCCTTTAGCCTGCATATCTTAAGATTTAATCCAGGTAGTCTTCTGCATTTGAATTACTCTGTCTTCACTCACCTGCATCAGTTGTGTAGTGCTTTTATAGGCCTTGATCATGACAGCTGGTCTGTCATAAACAAGTCAGGATTGCTGTTGGGTAATCTCCGAAAAAAATTGTTCATTAGTCTGTGAAGCTGGTTCTTAAGTGTTGAGACTCACCACTGCTCTCTCTGGTCTTCTTTCATAAAAGCAACAGTGGTGCAACCTATGCTTTTTAGACTGTACTTTGTACTGAATGTATGTGGAACTGACTCTGCGGTAAAAATCAGTAGGAGTATACTCAGTTTAAGGCCTGTTCTGTGACTTGCACCCACAGAGCGCCAGATAATCTTGTCACTGAGTTTACCTTTCTTCCCCTTCCTTATGTTTGAGGTGTTGTTGCTATTTGCTGTTGCTGACACCCAGAGCTGACTTTGCAAATGTTATTGCCATGGTGGAACCTGCTGTGGTACGGGCAGGGACTGTGAGCTCAGCCAAGGCCTGTGTCACAAGCAGAGGCCATACCCTGCATGCTGCATGTTTAGAATAGTTTCAGCAACAATATACCCAATGGATGGGTCAGACTACTTGAAAATTAGATCCTTAAGCATATGGTACTGTTACAGAGTAACTTGAACAGAGTTTAAGGCCTAAACTGCTCTAAAAACCTGTGGGTCCTTGCCGGAGAATTGCTTTAACAGATTTCATTGCTTTTTCTTCAGTAAGTGAGTGGCAAGGAGCTTTTTCCAGTCAGTTTTCTCTGTTGTAGCTTAAGAGAGAAAAATCACATTTCACCTATTACCTTTGATGCTTCTAAGAGCTATACTTTCTTGTAGTTTGTGGCCTTATTTTTATTTTTCAACCTTTGTCCATAGGCACTTTCACTTTATAAGAGGTTTTTTTTCAGACATGACATTTACTAGACTAATTCAATGTAACCAAACAGTTATGAACATCTATGCAGTGTCCTTAAACAGATTGTATCCTTTAGGGTAACCAGGACTAGCTGTTTCTCAAATGCCAATGAAAATTACGTTCTTTGACGTAGCAACTGCTGGGATTTACTAGCTTACTCGGTGTGTCAGACTTGATTGGGAATGGAAAACAGTCCTCAAAGAACGTGCTCACTGCTAACCCAGGCAAACCTCAGAACATTCTTCTTGGTCCTAATTTCACTGTCTGTAACACATGACCCAATAGCACCTTTAAAATGCAGACCTGGAGGGTTTTTTAGTTTCCAAACTGAAATTTTACAGGTTTCTGATTTAGTTTTGACTAATTCAGCCTCATGCTTTCTCAAAAGTATTTATGTTTATTTTTGCTTGAAATGAGCCTGTCGGCTAATTCTGATCTGGGTCCTTGTTTCAGGCAATACAAGGCCATGCTTTTGACTACAATCCCTAGACAAATTTGGAGGATTTGGGGCTTTTTTCTACTGAATGCATTTGAAAATATTATCGCAAAAGCTTGGTACAAGCTTTTGTTGATATGTATGCATACCTTAGCAATATTCCCAAGAAGATTCCCTCATTCATATAGTTTCTGTGTTACTGTAGGTGAAAAATCCAAGGATTCCAGAAATGCGAAGGTGTTGATTGTTGGGTCAGAAAATATGGACATCTTTTACTTTGAACAGTGAATGTAGGTGGAAGGTAATAGTTAACGGAGGTGTCAGTATTAGAAGTTTAGCGCTTCAGCTTCCTTGATTACAACATGCTCTTCATATTTGCAGATTATCTCAGATTTCTCAAAAATAAGAAAGTTTAACCATCTTCTTGTTGCTAATCTACATGCCTCAGTGATGTGTTTATTCCTTTAGGGATATTGTTTTCTTCTATGTAGTTTTAGAATTGAATTTTTTTAAAAAAAATCTCCAAGTACTCTTTTCTTGTAATTCTCACAAGCATTATCATGCTTAAAATCTTGACAGATTACTTCTTATATGAATTCTTTATAGGAGTAAAAAGACTGTCTGTTGCTGAGTTAAATGAACTGCTAGAAGAAATTGAGACTGCTATTAAGGATTATTCCGAGGAACTGGTACAGCAATTGGCTCTACGAGATGAGTTGGAGTTTGAGAAGGAAGTGAAAAACAGCTTCATTTCTGTCCTCATCGAAGTGCAAAACAAACAGAGAGAACACAAAGAAACAGCAAAGAAGAAAAAGAAGCTGAAAAATGGCAGTCCTCAGAATGGCAAACAAGAAAGAGGTCATATGCCTGGAACAGTAAGAAAAATTTTTTTTTCTTCTACATTCAAAATATTTTTTGTTTTTTCCCTATGAGAAGTAGCAGTCTTAGATTATATCAAGATATCTGGTACATCTGCTTCCATGCCTTCATTTGCAAATAAGGCTGAGGCACTTCCTATTGAGATTATTTTTTCTACAAGGTTATATAACACTTTAATCTCCTTATACTCCAAAAAGATTTTTTTTTATTGTTTGCAAATTGGCCTGGAATCAGCATACCTTTCTTGCAAAAAATACTCTCTTTGGGTATACTGCTGTGTGTTCTGTTGTCAGTAGGCAAACTTGTTTAACTGGTCAGTTTCACTGTGTGAATTTTAGTATGTGTGTACCACTATTAGTCTTGCAGGAAATTTGGTATTAGTGTGTGGTTATACAGATATTTGTTGATCAAGCTGGTTTTTAGGTGGAAAAAAGTAAAAATCTTACCTTGCTTCTCTTGAAACCTGTAGCAGAGTTACTACGTCCAACTAGAGACAGGAGTCAGACCAAAGTGTAGGGCAGGGGTATGGGGAGAAGATCGTAGAATCATAGAATGGTTTGGGTTGGAAGGGAAATTAAAGATCATTGAGTTCCAACCCCCCTTGCCATGGGCAGGGACACCCTCCACTAGCCCAGGTTGCTCAAAGTCTCATCCAGCCTGGCCTTGAACCCCTCCAGGGATGGGACATCCACAGCTTCTCTGGGCAACCTGGGCCACTGCCTCATCACCTTCGGAGTGAAGAATTTATTTCTTTAATCTAAGTCTCCCCTCCTTCAGCTTAAAACCATTACCCCTCATCCTATGACTACATTTGTAAAAAGTTCCCCACCCCCATCTCTCCTGTAGCCCCCTTTAAGCACTGGAAGGCTGCTATAAGGTCTCTCTGGAGCCTTCTCTTCTCCAGGCTGAACAACGCCACCTTGCTCAGCCTGTCCTCATACAGGAGGTGCTCCGCTCCAGCCCTCTGACCATGTTTGTGGCCCCCCTCTGGACTTGCTCCAACAGGTCCATGTCCTTCTTATTGGGGGTCCCACAGCTGGATGCAGTACTCCAGCTGGAGTCTCACAAGAGCGGAGCAGAGGGTTAGAATCACCTCCTTTGACCTGCTGGTCATGCTTCTTTGGATGCAGTCCAGGATACAGTTGGCTTTCTGGGCTGCAGGCACACATTGCTGGCTCACCATGAGCTTCTGATCAACCAACACCCCCAAGTCCTTCTCCTCAGGGCTGCTCTCAATCCGTTCTCCACCCAGCTTGTATGTGTGCTTGGGATTGCCCCGACCCATGTGCAGGACCTTGCACATGGCCTTGTTGAACTTCATGAGGTTTGCACAGTCCCACCTCTCCAGCCTGTCCAGGTCCCTCTGGATGGCATCCCTTCCCTCCAGTGTGTCCACCACACCACACAGCTTGGTGTTGTCAGCAAACTTGCTGAGGGTGTGCTCGATCCAACTGTTTATGTCTCCAACAAAGATGTTAAATGCTGGTCCCCTATGGAATGCCACAGTGGCCCTTCCAACCGGTCTCCATTTGGACATTCATCTGTTAACCGCAACTCTTTGAGTGTGACCATACAGCCAATTCTTTATACACCAAGCGGACCATCCATCAAATCCATGTGTTTTCTGAGAAGGAATGAACAAACTGGCTCCTAAATAAGACTGTAGGCTGCGTAAGCGTGGTTCCTCTGAAAATAGCTTTCATAATCACCAGGTACGGATTTGAGAGCCTTCTCCCAGAAGGAAGTGCAAGCTTCCTTCCTTCAATGCTTCTTTTTTTTTCATTTTTTTAAGAAAATGCTGAGAATGCATACAGATAGTATGTTCAAATAATTTTCTGAAGAGTGAGTTTCTTTTAATAAATAATGTATCAATTAATAATTTTATTAACTAAAGCTATAATGAAACCTCATTTAAATACAAAGCTTGGATATAGGGTTAAATTTTCATACTCTAAGAAAATACATTCTCCTGTAGATACTATAATTGAATTTTAATAAAGAGACATTTTACTTCTTTGTCCTTGATACAGTCTTTGGGTGAATCAGTTCCTTAGACTTCTAAAACTTCAACCTCTCTCACAAGGGCAAACTGGGGAGTAATTCAAAATAGTTAGAACTTGAAGATACCCGTTCCTTTAAACAGGACACCTTAAAAGAGTTTACATGGCTTTGGCAACATCTGTCTTTTTACTGACCTCATTGTGCTTTAGAAATCAAGTGAATACTGTATTCCAGCACATTTTATTCCCCCTCTCATAAATAAATACACTTAGATAAGCATGCGGAGGTGTGTGCATCATACTGCCCTGTGTCAGCAGCTTGACAGTTTCTTCTTTTTATGTTCTTGTGAGTTGCTGATTTTTATATTTCATGCTAAATACCAAAATTGGGGGTTTTTTTTGTTTGTTTTTTGTTGGTTTTTTTTTTTTGTTACTTGTCTCCTCCAGCAAGCAAAAAGGATTATAAAGCTCAAGAAAAAAATTGTGGCTGGATTATGTGTTAATTTTCCTTTACTTGGATTCTACGATTCTATATAATAGAGCTTGAAATTAATATGGGTGCATTATTAACAAATTATGTATATTTTATCATATTACCAAAAAAATGGGGAATACTAATTGTTGCTTTAGTTGTGGAAAAGGAAGCATGAAAGCATAAAATGTTTTAAAGAGGTAGAGATGAAAATTACTACCTCTGAACACTGTTTCTAGTAGGTGCCTAAAATCTAAACAATTGGTATCAGCAATGTCTCTAAAAGTATTTGGCTCAAATGCGGATTTTAAAGGAGACTGTACTGTGAACTCAACTTTCAAAAATACTATTTTATACATTTCAAAATTAAACTGCTTTAAAAGGCAAGTCTCGATTATTGGGTCTGTGATGTAAAGATTTTGTTTGATTAAATTTTGATGTAGATACACTGCTTAACTACCATTACAAGGTTTGCTTTTTAATTATAAAAATGAAGTAGGTGAATAAAAAAATAGAAATGTGCTGAAATACATCTTAGAGCTTGTCTTTGTCATTCGTCTTTTATAGTCTTGATAAATGCCAATTAATAGTCTTCTGAACTTTTCTCTGTCCCTTTTTTTTCTTTCTGCTATGTTTTCACTACTTTTAGCGCTTCAGCATGGAAGGGATCTCAAATGTCATACAGAATGGCTTCCGCCACACGTTTGGAAACTCGGGTGGAGAGAAACAGGTGCTGGGCTCTCTTCTCTCTTTTCCTCATTCTTTGTCTTCACTTTCAGTAGGAGCTGAAATCTTGAAAATTGCCAGTAGTTGAAGATAAATGCTGAAACAGCAGAAAAATAGGACAAAAATCTTGGAATCTGTTTCCTGTCTTGGGACTCTGATCAGCCTACAGTCTTTCTCCCCTCAACAGCTCTAGACGGTCAGGACTTGTATCCTGATGCACTGAAGTAATAACCCTTATGTCTTAGCCCAGACTAAAAGTCCGTTTTGGCATAATGCATACTTCAGGTGCATTGCATCTCTGTAAAAATCCAATATCTAATCAAAGAACATGTGTCAGGTTAGACATAACATTTCAGCCTTCAGCACTTGGGTAATATCTCCAACTGAAAAAAGGTTTTCTTTTCTGTTTTCTTCAAATGTTCAGAGCTGCTATATCTAAAACCAGAGTGGCATCTGGAAAATGCATGAATTCTATTCTGTTTTCTTGCCTTTGAAAACTGCATGATGTTAAAAGCAGCCAAAGGTGTGCAATGCAGATTACTGATATAAAATACATAAACCATAGGCAAGTTTGTGTCTTTTCACTGACTGTTTAAATGTTGAAACATATAGCACAGAGACCCAGCTTCAGTGGGTACATCACTGTAGGTGTTACATACACCTAAGCAGCAAGATTCTGATGCTTTATTTTCAAAGTAATCCTTCATTTTTTGTTTCAGAGCTGTAGGATGTATTTAATTAAATGCATTCTGTATTTCGATAAAGTGTTAATGCTTACGCTGTTGTTTAGGCTTGTGGCACACATTACTAAATATTGGTATTTCACATTATTTAACACATACCCACCCACTGCAGTTCATGCAATTGTGTCAGAAGTGTGTGTGAGATTTTTTTCTCCTCCCTCACCCCTGTCCCAACCGGTGAGAAGTCCATTGAGGCAATAAGCTGCCTGGTAGTTTAGGAGTCATGGCTGATCAGGGTTTTGTCTGGAAGATGACTGCAGAGGAGCTCAGGAAGTAAAACAACAAAGCCTCTCAAGTCATTCCTGAATAATGATGTTAGAAATCATGGACTCAACCTCTTTCTCAAGCAACATATATGTATGAGAGTTCACGAATACATAGATCCAGCTATTTGTCCCAGGCTTTGGGGATCTTGAACATGTGCACAGAGTGTAACTAACAAAGTTTTTATCAGTCTGCATTATCTCGATACTTGTAAAGTAATAGGTGTGCTGTTTTTTTTTTCCTTTGCTGTCTTTACCATTTAATAATAAATTACAGATGTTTACCTGAATGTTTAGCCGTCTTAAATATCATGTATTTTCATAAAGTGAACAGATTTAGCTATGCTAGCCTCTCTTACTTTTGGTTAAAAGACTTCTTTTATGTGCATGTCTCTGTATAAATACACCTTTTCTTTTTGACTGCCTCCTAACTTTCTATAAATAAGTAACATAATAATAATATTTTAATAACACTGACTGGATGGGTCTTCCAGTTGTTTTTTGAGTTAGTTTATTAATGTTATTCTTTGTGTTGATCATACTTTTCCCCAGATTTATTTTATACTATATCCTTGTTAGCAGGGTTATGGGGTTGAAGATACTTTATTTTCCCAAACACTTGTTAGCACACTTCTACAAACCTGAAATTTAAGGAACCCCCTTAGGCTGTAGCAGTTGTACTCTGGAATCCTTTAAAAAGCTGACTGTTACCAGTTTCCCAAAGTATTTGTAGGCAACATCAATATTTACCTGAAAAGATTTTATTTTTTTTTTTAATATATGTCCTGGACAGAAATAATTTCTTTATGATTTTGGATGCAGCTAGTGGTGACACTCACATGGTAATCTGTACATTGGTTTGGTTTTTTTTTTAAGATCTGTTCATCTACATTTATGGTGTTGTTTGAGGGGAGGTGATAGAAAGGTTGTTCTTCCAGCTTTTGATTGTAAGAAGTACTTTAAATACATGAAGGACTTCTGGTTGACTTCTAGAGGGAGCGGAAGAAAGATTTTACTATTGGTGTGTATAGAATCTGAGGAAGAAACCTAACAGAGAAACTTTTTACTGGAAATAGCTCCAACTTTTTAAATACTTTTTTTAGTGTTTAGCTGCATAACTTTCAAAGTGGTCACATAATTTGAAAAAAAAAAAAAAAAGTTGGCTTCTGTGATGAAAGCTTTGAGATAGGAAAGGTAGAAACTTAATTTCTTGTGAAATACGATCTTTTGAAAAGCTTTTATTTGTGGCCAGCAATTTCAATTGCTACAACTTTTGCAAAATAAAATGCAAGCAACATAAGTTGCATGAAAGGACTGTCGAGTAACTCTGTGTTTCTTTTGACAGTATTTAACAACCGTCATTCCTTATGAGAAGAAGAATGGACCCCCTTCTGTTGAAGATCTTCAAACATTAACCAAAAGTGAGCATACCGAGTTCCCCCACCGATCCTTTCCTCTTTGTATTTCCAACTGCGGTTGCCCAAACCCGATGAATCATCCAGTTCTCTTCCCCCTTACTGTGTGACATCTGTGTAAACTCGCATGATTTTTAGCCATGCATTTTGGCCAGTTTTCACTTCCTTTCTGAGCATTCACGGAGTGTTTGTTTTCTAGCTGTTCTCTAAAACTCCGAAGGCTAGGAACTTGGGTGTATCCGAAAGTAAATGTTTTCAACATAATTTCAGCAGGTGGGCCTTAGGGAAATACCGCGTGCCATGGAAGTTGGCAATACTGTCTCATATACCCCTGTTTGTTTAAACTTGCTGTGCTTTACTGAGGTTGTTGTAAGGAATTTCAAACATTGGAATGGATGTTGGGACACTTAGGAGTAGTTTTATAGTGATTGAACTTGATTACCTTTAAAATAGCCTGCTTCTCTCTGTGGGTTTGTTGTTGTTAATAAATTTTAATAATTAGGAAGTATAAACCAAACAGAGTTTTGACAGTGCTTTGAATTCCCCTTTCTTCACATCTTTTTAGGCCAGATCCTCAAAATTATTTGTAAGTTCTAAGTCCTCTGTGCTTTTTCACAGCCTTATTTTTCATGTAAATTAGACTATTTTTAAAAAATTAAATACTAAGATGGTTAAATGCAGCAGAGCATCTCTGGGAGTCAGTGGCATCTCTTTCATTTGAGGAACAGTTTAAAAATAGATGGTCGAGTGCGTCTATGTATTTGATCAGATGTCAGCGAAGAGCTTTGGATCTAACTACGTCTTAAGGTACTTTCCAGCAGCACAGGCCTGTGATTCCACAGGTGGCACAGGGATGGGGAACGGCTCATTGGTTGTTTCCTGGAAAGAGAGAATAAATATTGTACAAATTCTGGAGTAAATGAAATGTTTAAGCAGGAATTAAATTCCTTTTATTTTTCTGTAGTAGGCACCCTTAGCTGGTAATTCATACTTATTCTGTGACAAATGTGTTTTTCATTTTATATTTACTCCGGCAGAGAAATTTTATCCTCTTGCTGTATTTAAATTTCAGATGAAAATATTTTCAAAAATTCAATATTAAGCAGAGAGAGGTTAAAGCTTTGTGAAAACGTTTTGTGTTTGACTGTTTATTAACAAAATGTTGTACAAATGCACTATAAAGAGTATTAACAGTACTGCTTTCTGTGGGCTGGTTGATCCTGTGGCTCAGTTGCAGATTTCTGACTCGCTCTCTGTGCTGTTTTAACAGACAGTGAAGCAGGTGTTTGGAGTTGTTTGGTTGGTTTTTATTTCAAAGCTGTGTACTATTCCATAGTTACTAATATATTACTTCAACTTTAAAAATGGAAATGAAGCACTTGTTATATTTTGAGTTCAGAGTCCCATGTGAGGAATTAGGAGTTTAACGAAATACTGCTACTCACTGTAATTCTGTGGTTTTGATTCTTTCAGTCATGTCCAGAGCACTTCATAAAGGATTGTTACTGATTTTGTTTAGCAAATAACAGCCAAGTTTATAAGTGTCAAGTTGATCCTGGTCCAAATGTTTTTCCTTCTTCAGAAATATGCAAGGATTGACAATTTTGGATATAAGTCACAAAAATTGTCATTTTGGCATTATTCTAAGTTAGTGATAAATTAAATAATGTATTTAAGATTTTTCGAAGCTACAGCTGCTAACGTTCACCGTTTTGGGGGAAAAAAACTGCCAACATTTTCATCAGATTGTTCACAGCATTGTTTCTCCAGAAAAGTGTCATCATTCCATGATTTGGGATGAAGATCAAGGAAATAAATTCAGTAATGGAGCACACTTTTTACGTAAGATTTCCAAGCCTCCAGTAGTTGTTAGCACGTTTTAGTTTTGGATGTGGTAACTTTCTTTTTGGAGAGATTTTTTTTAAAGGGAAGAAGTGCTTTTTTTTGTTACGACTGTTGACATTTTACTGTAATGATTAGCCACATCCAGTGCGTCTCTTGCATCCATGTACTGTGGAGTTCAGTGAGAATTACACAAGCGAAAGGTGAAGATATGTGTCTCATTGTATCTTCTCATATTCCAGTTTTCTTACTAATCTGGTAGTAATATCCCTGTGAGTAGTTGAAACAGCTTCATGGTGTTTCTTTTGAGGGTATTGTTTTTAATTTATGACTAAATATCTGATTTTTTTTTTCGTACTTTAGTTCTGCATGCCATGAAAGAGGATAGCGAGAAAGTGCCAAGCTTGTTAACAGACTATATTTTAAAGGGTGAGTATGTTTCTTAACTGAAATTTTTTTATTCTAAGTTAACTTAATGTACATACAAGGTGTATTTGAAAAGCTTAGTCCTACAGCATTCATGAGTTATGTTGCCCTTCTGTGAAACATGAGTCCCATCTATATTCTTCATTTTGTCTGAGGTTTCTGAGCATAAAGTTCATAAATAAAATGTGTTTATTTTGTTTGTGATCATATAATATAGCAAAGTATGTGGTGTATATTCAAAGAGCTGAAAGACAGCAGCAGGAGCAGAGCAGTCTGGCTTACGAAGGTAAATGGGTGTAGTTAAAAACTTGTGTTGTACAGGTTTTTCAGAATCAGAATTCAAACTGCCTATGGTAGTAATGCATTTGGTAGATGAAGTGCTTATATTGTCATTTTAAGTGTTACCTTCTGAGCAATAGTGAAAATTATGTATTTTACATTTACTTATTATACCTTTTTCACATTTTATTTAAAAGGTTTGTGTACGAGTCATTTATTTTCCAGTATTATACATTGATTATATTAATAGAATGTCAACCATTGAAAATCACTGCTTGCTTTAGCTTTAAGCAGTTGTTCCAGGTAGTTTCCAGGTTGTTAAATTACTTTTAAACATTTTTCTTCTGACTTCATTTTTGCCTAGATCTTAACTAATGCTTATGTTCTTACTTAATTCTTGGCGTATAAATGGTACGTTTGGTGTTTAAAGTTTGGCATACACATTAAACTCCCAAGCTCCAACCAAGCAGGTGTACAAAAGGATGATGGCTGCCTTTTTATTTGCCACACAAATGGATGTTATGTTCTGCTTCACGTTCATAAACTGCAGTTTTCTTTTGGTGTCATGCTTTTCATATTTTTTCAAATACAATCATTTGACTTAGTTCCCTCCCTGTGATTTTTAAAGCTTTTTGTATTACACAGACTTCTAATCACTCTCATCTCGCAGAGATTTGAAAGTACCTTCAGGTTAAAGTTGTGTCTGAAATTTAACATGCCATTGCTCCAGCTGAAGCTGAAAAGAGAGCCATGGAGTATTCTAGAAGCTCTGACAGACTTCTGTTGGAAGAAGCTCATTTCTAAGTTTTGTGTAGGGTTGCAGAATTGCCACATACAATAAGAATGCAGAGATCTTTCAGTTTATTTCCTTTGATTTTTGTGAAAATCCTTCTTAATTTAGATAGATGTATTTGCTTATAAGCCAAGAGCCCTTTAGGCTCAAGATCAAGGGTTTTTGTGGTCATGGGACTAAACTTCAGTGTTAGGGTCAAGATCAAGGTTTTTTGTGGTCATGGGACTAAACTTCAGTGTTGTGAAGCAGAATCTTTGACCCAAGAGGATGAACTGTTGTCAATGATTAAAGCTGTTTGCTTCTCATCATAAGACATCTGGTAGAAACTGATTGGAATGAATAGTGCTCTTTACAGTGTCTGCTCTTATTTTTAGCTATCCAGAAAAGCTTTCAGATTACTCGGATACTGAGAAGAAACTGGCTGCCTAGGGAAACGGAGAAATCTTATGCATAGAAGGCTTATAAAAGTAGATTAACTGAACATATGACATGATGATCTAGGCAGCATGATACTGAGGTTACCTCCTACCTCTGCCTCTGCATGCTTGTGACTTTAAAATCACCAGGGGTGTTCTACCAGCTAGATGCAACGCTTACAAAAACATCATACGCGCACTAAATGTGTTGGATCAAACAGGTCTTCGTATACAAGCACTGTTGTCTCTAAATTGTAAACCACAAATGATGGGAATATGAAGAGTGATCACTCACTGGCATCACTCACACTACATCAGCTAAGCAGAGCTACATTACTAAATAGCTACATTACTATTACTAAACAGAACTGAGGCTTTCTCACTCTTCTGTGGGTCTGTTTGTGGAACAGCAAGCAGTCATAAAAGCTAGTGAGCATAGAATTTTACTCTTCTTTCAATGTAGCCTTAACTAAGCTTCATATCACTATGTTTAGATAATATTAAATATTTATAACTTGGCTGGCAGCATTACATTGTTATGTAGATTTATCCTGTGGAACAGGCAAAGTCTTCCAATTGTTTCTGCCGTTGTAATCTGTTTCTCTTCTTCTTCTGCCACCAAAACTTCTGTCCTGAAGTCTCAGTGAGGTTTCATGCATGGCACAAAATACTTCCAGCCACCTGTCTATTGTCTGAAAGTTATTTTTAAAGCTCGTTAAAGAGAGATTGGATGATTCTAAACAATCTCTTTTAGCAACTTTCAGCTCGGCTTTTGTATTTGAAAATCCAACTACTCTCTGATTTTCAAAGTAAAAGGCATGACCTGCATTTTGAAGAGTCTGCTCTCTTTATGGGGAAGATTAAAAATGGTGAAAATTATGATGAGGATTTAGGGGTTTGAATTTGTTTTCCGGAAGAAACAGGACAATGAGTTCTGGATCCAGTAACAATCATCTGTATGGTATATCATTTTACATTTCTTTACTCTATGATCCAGCTGTTGTCTTATACTGAATAGATTCCATTTCTTTTTATTAAGCTTTAAACAAGAAATTAAATTTTGAAATGTGTGAGTTGTATCACCAAACGTACTTAGTTCTGCTATAAATCTGTTAACTTCTTGTTCCTTTGAGGATCACTTTTCCTAATCTTATAACAAAAAAACAAGGAGTAAATTATATGTGACAATAGGATATGTGTAGCTTTACGGGAAAACTGGTTCGTGTGGCATTTGTCAGCACAGGTAAAACCTTTCTAGCTCTGTATTGCATTGTAAACAACAAATAAAAAATAAATAATCTTACAAGTCCTTGATTTTTTTTTTTTTTAAAGCAGCGCTATCTTTTTATTCCATGGCATTTAAAAAATCAGAACATGCTAGTCTTATGTGGGTGTTATGGTTGTCCAGAGAATTAGTAATAAACTTGTCCAGATATTGTTGGTTACTGTTGAAAAGTTGCTTAGATTCTTTAGAATCAAGAGCTGAAGAAAAAAGATCAGGAAAAAAGTGACTCTAACAATTGCCGTAGTATTGTTGGCATGATGTAATGGGACAAATAAAAGAAGAATGCTGTGAACCTGGAAAGGTTAAAGGAACCTAAGATTGAGCAGAAAGTGTTGATTTAACAAAAAATCTTGCAAAATTCACTAGTGTTCTGGTAAACACAAAAAGACAGTGAAATAAGTTTATATTTTCCCTGAATTTCACAGTGTTTTGTACAGGTGTCACCATCTTGAAATCTTGAACTAAATGCCAAATTAATTCTGAAATTTGTGAATTTGGATCATGTATGAAGACACCCACGGACCCCCTCCATGTGTGTTGTCTAATGCTTGATGTCTTCATTTAAGAGTGACTGAGTGAATTCTTAAGGCAGTTTGGGCAAGAGCTGGAACATGGGACTGGAACTTGAAGGAGAGTTCTGCAACCAGATCTGCTATTCACGTTCTGTGTTACCGTGGTTCATTCTTGCACTTTTTTTCATAACCAGCTAATGCATCTGAAACACTAGAAGTAGAAATCCTCAGGCTATGGAAAGTGCAATATAATAAAGTGAAAAAGGCCAATTGCAACTCAGTGCATTTCATGTTAGGAAAAAAGAAAACTCCACATGCATTTCTGAATAGGATTACTAGTTTTGAAATTTATTTCTGGTGCTTGCAATTTTCAAGCATCCTATTTTCCCAGTTTCTGCTGTCCCCCATTTGTGCCCCAAAATGTTAAAAATGTCGTCATTTTGTCCTCGTGCTTAAGTGCCTCTTTCTGGTGATGGGTTAGCTGTCTCCTGGGTCTGTTCCCTAGGGAGTACCTCCTCAGGGGTAGGTATCCCAAAGCCAGACTATGTACATATTCCACATCTTGTACAATGCAGTAACTCACCTTCTCTTGTTCGTGTTGCTCTTGATGCAACCTAAATTATTTTCAAGGGGATTTTTTTCCTTTTGTGAGCTTTTGTTTCTTTTTACTTTTCAGTGAACATTTTCATCCCAAAGTTAGTAATAATAAAAAGAACTTAGTGATTCGGTTTGCAAGGATATTGTAGTTCTTCTCCCACCAGCATATGATTCATATTCTGTTTTATAGGTTTGGAATGAAAATAGATGGTAACGTGAAATTGATAAGCATTTGCAATTGTGTTTAAATTTTCTGAATATAGCGGGTTTTAATATATTATTATATTTTATCACTAGGGATCATAAAGAAGAAATTAAATTTGGAAGAGGGTGGAGGAATGCATTTGCTGACAGGGAAAGAAATATCAAACCAAAACTATGAATTTCTTGATCTTAGCACATTTTTTGACTGAAGCTGGCAGCTTAGTGTGCTCACTGTATTTAAATCCTCTTTGTGTTAATCTTTCTACTGATCTTTTTTGATGGTTTAACAAATATAACATGCTTTGAAAATATTTTGTTTGTTTCCATTGAAAGACCAATACAAGCCAGTAAGCAGCAAAGTTTCTTGTGCACAAGTTAAGCTGTAAAGCAGGGAGCACAGATGGAGATATTTTTGTCTTATCTTGTGGTTGCATTGTTTTCAGGTGTCGCAACAAGAATAGGTACCGTATCCTTAGATGAAAGCATGTTTGTATTGACTATACCCATTGATTTTTTTCTTTACAGAAGCTTTTGGTTTTCCTTTTTGCATGTATAGTGTAATCGCTTTCTGCATCATGATTGATTTGCCAAGTACAATAATGCAACAAGTAGTAGCATCTCTGGTCCTTGAAATATGCAAGTTTAGGGGCTGTTTTCTGAAGAAAATGCCCCTGTGCAGTCATGTTGACTCTCTCTTCAGCCTCAATTTTGATCCCATGTGACAGAAAGAAGGGTTGCAGGAATAACTGCGTTTCATAAATACTGTAGGGAACTGCATCTGGACAGAAGGACTGAAACCACTGTTTCTGTTGAGCTAAAGGCTATTGGCTTTTAAAAGCCAACATCCAGTTGGCCACATGGCTTTTATGTATTCACGTAGCAGTGAATGCACTTCGAGTAGCTCTGATCAGTTTGGGGGCATGAGGACAGAGGAGAATTACAGGGAGGACCTGCTGGGATGGAGTTCATAGCAAATCTAAAGTAGAAGCTGAGGAAGGGATGGTGGGAAGGGGAATTACCTAGTTTTATTGTTACAGGGTAAGGAGGAATATCTGAGGAAATCTTCTGGAAGCAAGGGTTCCTTAATTTAGCTACTTACGGAACAGGTCAATAGGATATACACAGAATCAAAATATTAGGGATAAAGTTGTCTAGAATTACATCTAGACACATTATGCCAAGATTAATAGTTTTTAGTACCAGTTTTTGCTGAGACCCCAGTAGATTTAACTTTATGTGCTGGGATAATTTTTGAATATGACATCCTACCAGTATGATACACAAACGGAATAAAAATTCTCTGTACCCCTGCAAGGTTACTTGTTTGGTTTTTTTCCTTACATCAAGAACCCGTGTAAGTGTAAATAGTTGTGACATTCTTAAAACATAACTATTATATATAACAATATATAAGTTTGTATTTATAGGTGAAATAAATGCCTTTGAAATCAGATGTGTCCTTACGGTAAACTGTTCTAAGACGTATTTATTGCTAGGCTTTGTGTTCTTTTACAGTTGTCCTTAAACAGTAATTGTGACATGAAAATACAGTGCTACAAATAAATGTACTCTACGTTACTACTGAGTAAAATACATAAAATCTGTCTAGTATGATTTTCTTTTAGACTTTTTTTCTGAATGTAGATGTCATGAAAGCAGAATAATTTTCCATCTTTCAGCTTGCTGTTTCGTATCTGATCTTTCAAGCCTATAGTAAATGCTTTAAAAATCCACAGGTTTTTTGTTTTAATAAAGCAAGAATTTATGCTTTGTTCTGTTTTTAAATTGCAGAAGTATTTCGGATAACAAGAACATTTATTTTCTTGCCTTTTAATTTTTTGTGTAATTGTTACACCTGACTTCTTTATTTGCTTTTGTGTTGTGCTAGCATTGGTTTGAAAGCTGGATTGCTCTGAGGTTTGTGTCTTACGTGTGAAACAGGAATGAGAAACACATGAAGGACATGTCTTATCTTCCCACTGTGTGATTCAAGTACACGCACCATTATAAAAAATTAGAGTTAGAATCTCAAATTGTCATTGCATATTTTTAAAATATAACTGCATGTGTCACCTTTTATTTAATGTTTTGTTTTCTAATAGAGCACCTCAAAAAGCACTGTTTAAGACATGACCTTTATTTAACTCATTTCTGGGTAATATTAGTTAAAGATAGTGGGTTGTGTCAATTATCTTTTGAGAAGAGAATGATATGTTAATTGCCAGTTTCAATTGATTTCTAGATTACTGATAGGGTAGAATTCAACATTTAAGTATTTTAGTATATACAATACATTTTTATGCAGACTAACTTCACTGTTGTTTATCAAGATGTATTTGTGGTTCTTTTGCAGTTCTGTGTCCTACATGAAGAGGGCTGCCTTTCTGAATTAGCCATGCTCCTTCCTGGGAGGACAAGCTTTCTGTGGATATAACTCAGTATTTTTTTCATTTGGCACTATACCTAAACCAGTATGCATTTACCTCCTCTGTATGTGAGTGGATTTTCTCACCCTACAGTAAGTCTATGGGCATGACATCTCATCCATTTTAACTTAATAGTGCAATGAACTGGAGCAGGGAACAAACATTGTACAGTTTTACTCACGTTGTTCTGGCTTTTTAAAGTCTATTTTTACATTGTATAGCATGTAGTAAATCCTCCTGCACACTTTGTTGTTGGAAGGAGCAGTAAACTTTGAGTAGTGTAAATAAAATAAGCCTAGTTTTAAGGTATCCATATTTAAAAGCATCCTTAGTTCCTGTAGCAAAGATCCAAAAAGGATCATGGTTGGGCTTGGACTAAAAGATTCAAGTGAGTTCTCCAGGAGGCACTCCAGAACGGTGTTGGTGGAAGTCAGTGTTCGACGCTTCTTTTAAAACAGTAACTTTGATTGAACTATACAGCAGTATTGTTCATACAGTGAACAAATTTTGATGGTTTGGCGTAAGTAATTGGTGTTACCTATCCTTGTTATCTAACACAAACATCCAAGTAATGTAATATTTCATTTTTTTTTTAATTTTAATTACTAGTGTTCATGTGGCCTAGATATTCTCCCGTATTGCTGCTATAACTTTACTGGTTTTAATAAGTATTTGATCTTAATGAAAATGCTTCAGTATATAAACATTTTAAAAGACTATATCTTTTTAAAAATACATGTACAGTTTGAAAAACTTGCACCTGGGTTCCAAGTTAGTATTATATTGAGACATTGTGTTAAATTTTACTACAAATCTCTTGTAAATTGTGTGCACTGTCTCCTCTGTGATGATGTATCGGCATTCAAACAGATGAGAATGTATTTTATAAATGCTGTAAAAGAAACATACCCCGTAATCTCAACATTAAATACTTGTCACAAATAATTTTGCCAGTCTTAAAGATTAGATTGAAATATAACGAGTACTAATAAAAATAAAGGAACTATTTTCTAGGTTGAATTCCTATTGATTCTGCACCCAGATTTCTATGCTGTATATGTGAAGGCACTGGGAGATAAGGTTCTAAACATTTCTGTCTCTTGTGCCTTTTTCATTCTGTAAAGTTTTCAGCTTAAAATTCTTTCCTCCTCCCTCTCCCCTGACTTCACCACCAATAGATTCTTGCCAGCCTGCTCAGGAATCCTCTGCATAAGCGTGTCATATGTGAGGAAGTTTTTTTTTTGTTGTTGCTTTATTCTGCTTCATTTGTGGTTTCTGTAACAAGAAAGCTGACATTTATTTCTCTAGTAGATGTGTTACAAACTCATTACGGCATGCTTTTTTTACAGAAATGCTTGATGTTGACTATTGATGCCTGGAAATTGGCAAATGAATTGACCCTCAATTGCTTAATTTTTTTTAAAAAGGTGCACGTGTTGTGAAACACACCATGTCTCCAAAGGAGATCTATTCAGAGACGCTTCAATCTACTTTTGAGGCTTGAGGTGACAAGATGAAACAAAAAAAAAGAAGAAAATTAAGGGAAGAATTTAAAAGAAAAACAACCTTTTGACAAAGTTTGTGTTGTTAGTTGTAACAAATCTTGAATGGCTTAAAGTAATGAAATATTAAAAGTAGTAAAACTTGAAAGAAAACCCAATGCTAAAGAGCAGAAGCAGCTGTAGTGAGCTAAGCATCTGCTTGGGTGTATCATGCCCCTCATCAGACTAAACAAGATTTCATTATGAAAAGTACCTGTTTGCTTTGTGTGTAGAATACTGGCATTAAACAGCTGCTGCCAAAGGTGGCAAATATTATACATACACCTATATATGTACATAAAAAATATATCTCAAACCGTAGGGATAAGAAGACGCGTGCAAAGCTGCTTTTCAGCTGAGTTTGTGTACTTCATATTCTCTTTTATGCATCCTTTTTCCAGATGCATTATTGAATCTTGCATTCTTTCAGGGAGCTGGATTTCATTTTTCTTTTTAGTTTTAGCATGTGAGAGCTGTAAATGGCCACCCAAGAACAGTTACTGACTGTTCTCTAGAAGAGATTTGGTAAAAATACTGTTTTGCCAAAATCCATTCCATTTTTAATATGAAGAGTCCTGGAAGCAAAGTTTCCTTAAAGTGATTGAATTCTAAGTTGCAGCTAGGTTATTTGTATCACATTCTTTAATAGCCTTTTTTTTTCTTTTTACCTTTTTTTTATCCAACCATTTTTCTGTGTTTCAGATATTTTGTTTGATACAATCTTATTTACTTGCTGGCTTAGAGTCAAATTTTGAGTCGGGGACTGTCTGGACAGTGTATCAGAGGTAGTCGAGAATCCTCGAATTATGTTTTCTTGGTTAAGTGAAGAAACTTGAACAAAATGTCAGTTCCCTTCTGGTGAAAGATACTGATTTAGCTGGACTCCTAGGTGGTGGAGGTAATTGGTGATAAAGAACATCTGCTGTTGACTGGGCCAGGTAATTGTAGCCTTTAGCTTGGAGTGGGGGTTTTATTGCAGCAGTTCACATCAGTATTGCTTCCATACTGGATTACCTCGATGTTCTTTCTGCATGTGTGTCACTTGGAAACTGCAGCCATGCCAGAAACAGTGCTCTGTGTGCTTGGCAACAGTGGTGATGATCCAGTGTGTACCTCTGCACAGCATCATTTCCAAGCAGCTGCCTCCTCATTTCCAAAGGGACAATTTAAGATACAGGTTTCAGCTCCTGAAGCTGTAGATGGTTCAGAGCCTGTGTGTCAGGAAGCCTGCTTCTGCAGCTGCAGCAGCAGTGGCAGTGGAGATCAGGAGCTTGTTTCACCTCAAACATCTGCCCAATTCACTTGGGAAGGGCCTAGAAGCAAAACTTTCTAGTGAAGCATTCTCAGCGCTGATGCACCCAAGCCTGAACTTAGTCTCATCACTCTGTAAAGTCTGTCTTTCTTTTGGGTGAGGGGGCTGTATTGTAACAGAATCCATGTAGGTTTGTAACTATTTTCTGATTCAGGTATCGATCCAATTTTTAAAACTTCTTATGAGCCTCCAAGTTATCCCTGGATATAAAGTCACTCCAAAAAACCATAAAAACTCTGCCATTTCTTTTCAAGGTGTGTACAATTTTGCAGGAGGTAGTGAGTGCTAGAAGGGTTTTATAGGGCACATCTAATGATTGAGAAGTGCTGGATACCTTCCTTGCAGAGAGTTTCTTCTAACAGAAGAATTAGAAGACGTGCTTTCATTTTTTTAAGTGCTATGTCCTTGCTGGTGAAATTAAGTGTCTTGTTCCCTTGCTCACGTTCTTTGGATCAGGACCTAACTCAGGACTTCTTGCCTTTTTGTTTGTATTGATCAGTGATGGCCCTCTGGATTAGCTGATCAGTGTCTAGTCCTAAAAATAATTGTTGAAGAAACTGTATGAACTGGGAGAATGAGTTCATTGTTCTGTTTTGTTTTTCTCTGCTTTATAATCTGCAAAAGTTGGACAGAAGCCTCTCTTTGCATTGAATGCTAATTTAAACGGAGGTCATGAATTGTCTTTGGGTTTTATGTTTATGGAATAAATATTAATTTAAATTTTCTGTAGAGTTGCATGCAAATTTATTAATTTGAGTACATGTTTCTTGTAAACAATATCTTATAACTTAGGCTGAATACAATGGGGTGAAAAACTCAGCAAAGAAGGTAAAGTGTTTGGATATTCCTGCTCAGGAAAATGTTCGGAGGATGCCCCAGTTCTTTCAAAACTATGGAAAGCAATCTTTCTGTCAGTACGCAATCCAGCACAGTTCTGTGGCTTGGTGATATTCAGGGAACTGACCAATTCAAAGAAAACAATCCAGATTTTCTGCTGACTGCGTTTTTGGCCTTCAGGAATATTCCGTTGCCCAGCTCAAGCAGGACGTCCTTCCAGTGGAATGGCAGCATTGCTGTTAAAGAGTCAGCTCATTTTTATCTGTAGACAAATCAATGATTGCTCCCAGGAGTGTTTCTCTTTCTGCTTGTATTGCCTTCACAGGAAAACTAATTGTGCAAAGTAAGCCCCATATAGAACATGCTGTTTATTTGCGTATTTTGGAATCTAGGTTTGTAAGGTCCCTAAATTAGCATGGAAGTGCCTTAAAACACCTTACAGCTATTTCATCATGAAAAAACATCTCTGCGGTATTACCTGCATTCACCTCTTTCCAACCTGAGGGATATAAATTGTCCTTGAGATAAATTTGAGAAAGACAAATGCAGAACCTCTGTCACTTGCAGTTCCATAAGTTGATGTTATCCGCTTGCAATGGCATGAGAACAGTTGAAGATAGAGCTGCTTTCTTCTACATGCTCTGACATTGCTGTCGTTGATGCATGGAGAGAACAGTGCTATCAGCCTGATTTAAACCTCATTGTCACCAGAACCACTGAGCTTTTGCCTAAAATCAAACAATGGCTTCCCTAAATGTGTATCCAAGTCGTAAAAGATCAAGCCCTAGAAGGCTTCACTTTGCAATTGGTGCAGTGAGCAGTTCCCCTGGGAACATTCTGGACGTTGAAGCACAACACGGCACTGCCTGTTGGCCTTCCAGTACCTAAAGGGGGCTACAGGGAAGAGAGGAAGGCACTTTTTATTGGAGTGTAGTGACAGGACAAGGGGTAACAGTTTTAAGCTGAAAGAGGGCAGATTTAGATGAGATATTAGGAAAAAATTCGTTCCTGTGAGGGTGGTGAGACACTGGCCCAGGTTGCCCAGAGAAGCCGTGGATGCCCCATCCCTGGAGGGGTTCAAGGCCAGGCTGGATGAGGCTTTGAGCAACCTGGGCTAGTGGGAGGTGTCCCTGCCGATGGCGGGGGGGCTGGAACTACATGATCTTTAAGGTCCCTTCCAACCCAAACCATTCTGTGATCCTATGACTGCAGTTGCCTGTTACACCGAACAGCACAAGAGCGGGCTGTGCTGCGTAAGTACTGGTACTGAAGGAGAGTCTTTCAGACCCACCGCACTTTACAGTGGTGGCAGGAACAGGTGGAGATCAGCTGTTGATGGGTGGACCTCAGGAGGTAAGACCAGATATACTCAGTATTACCGACAGCAGTGACTTGCTCACTCAGGAGATGAAGCAGCAGGACCTACTGGAAGGTCTTCATTGCTTCCTTCTGGGCTGTACTTCTCAACATCCTGCATTTCCTGGGCAGGGCTAAGTACCTCAGTGGCCAACTTTCCCTGCCTCTGCCCATGTTTCTTTCTATGTGACCCTTCCCACCCCTTCCCTTGTCGGTGCTCCTCCCTGTTTTCCTGAGCCCATCTTTGTGGTAACCCTTGCTCCACACCTTAGCAAGAGGAACACAATGGGCCCAATGTACTCCAATGTTTTGTCTTTTCCCTGTTTCCCAGCCTGGTGGCTCTTCATTTGTGTTACCAGCTGGAAGCCCTTTCTCCCGTTTAAATACCCCATGGAACACAACTAAAGATTCATGTCTTTGAAGAGGGAAACTTCACAACGGAGCTGCGTTGCACGTGCATCTGTGGAGTCTGTAATAGCTTCTCATCATCTCTGCACAGACTTCACAGTTCAGAGATGATGCGCATCATACCAACCTTCCAAGAGTCTACCTGTCCTTTAGGTTTGACAATCTGCCTGGATGCCTGTTCTGCTGAGGTCTCGGGCAGCAAGGTGACATTAGCAGGAGGTAAGTGATATTTACTCTGCTGTGAACTGGTGCTTAGAACGCCCAAAGAACCTGGTATCTGCAGGGTGGAAGAGTCTCTGCCTTCACTCTTTGGAATTGGAACATTCACACTCTGGCATCAAAGGCAGGACTGGTACAGGTGGCCTCGGTGCTTGTGGATTGCTCCTGGTGGTGTCTAAAGGCTTGGATTATGGAAGAGTGGGAGCCCATCCAGCTGCAGGATGTGTAGGAGTCCTGCAAAGGTTGCTAAATAGCGTTATGAATCTTTCAGTGTGTTGCTTCAAGGCTTCTTCAACAAGTGGATGCAATTATGCCTGTGAGAGACACAAGAGTGAGGAAAGTGCCTTGCTGGAGAAGACTGTGGGTGACTGGTGTAAAGTCTTCTGTGGTCCACTCTGTCCCAGGGCCTATTCCAAGGATGCAGCACATCCTGCTGTAGGGCAGGACAGCCTTGCATAAGATACCAGCTAGCTTTCAGTCGCTGTGAAGTCTTTGGCTCTCTAAGAATACAGTTCTAGGAATCTGGGTCTCAGTTGTGGTCGTATTTGTCAGGGTCTGCAGAATCTTGGTGATCTTGAAGACTCTGCTGCTCTCTGTTCCATCAGGTTTGGTGTCTCGGTTCCACATCATGTGTAGTCTTGGCCAAGGGTGAGATTTAAGTGCCACATCTTAACACTTCTGGTCTTGTCTGCAAACTAGCTTCTCCAGGATGGCACGATCACCATACTGTTTCAGGGGGTTCAAGTTTTGTTCAGGCTGGGATCTCTTAAGCCTTCTGTTTGTCTGTTTCTGGAGTCTCCACCTCATCTAGAGTTAAAAAGGATGTTGCTGTCAGCCTGCAAGTCCTCACATGTGTTCCCAGGTGCCTGGGTCTTGCAGGCATTTTATAAAAAACTGCATTTCTCCCCCAAAAGACTAAAACTGGGGACAAGATGTGAGAAATAGATTCTCAGAAAGTAACAGCCCATCAGTCATCTAGTAATGTATTTATATTCCACCCACCCTGCCCCCTGCCCTTTAGATTCAATGTTGGGAACAGTGCTGCTGTGTTGTGTTTGGATGCAGTCTTAGCCGAGGGCTCACGTTATCTGAGCCATCTGATGGCTTTTCCAGTTGAGGACACCAGCAGAGTTACCATCAGAAACAGAGACATCTCCTTGTGTTTGTGGGCATTCTGGAACTGGCAGTCTGCTATGGTTAGGGTTAGGGCTGGGCTAGGGTTAGAGCTGGATTAGGGTTAGGGCCGGGTTAGGGCTGGGTTAAGGTTAGGACTGGGCTAGGGTTAGAGCTGGATTAAGGTTAGGGCCGGGTTAGGGTTAGAGCTGGGTTAGGTTTAGGGCTGGGTTAGGGATGGGTTAGGGTTAGGGCTGGGTTAGGGTTAGCATCCTTTCTGGAAGCAGACCACTGAATGCTGCAATGCCTCTCGGTTTAGAAGGGGAACAGGAGCCCCTTCTCATCTGGTCCTTATTTTCTGTCTAGGAGAGTCATCTCCGCTAGAATGGCTGCAACGGCCCATGGCTTTCTGAGAGCTGAATACTGCCGTTTCCAGACGTAGCATTTAAGAATGAGAGTTCGTAACAGATACTTCTAAAATTACACTTTTAAACTACTATTTTCTCTCTGGCGAACGTCAGTCTGGAATACAAGTGCCTGCCACAGGATGGCAGCAATCAGTCATCTTTGAAACACCCTCTTTCAGTTCGAATATTCCGTTTCAAGATGAGGTCCAAAGATCAGCTATTCACACTAGATCACTTTGTGGAGACGGTATGACAAACACAGGAAAGCCTTTGTGTATTCTTATTCATTATTAATGAAAACCATGTTTTACAAAGTTTATTACAATGTGATAATTTGCTTAGAGGATGAGCTCTGAATACCATACCGTATAGTAGGTTATATGTGGTGGTCCCTGATGGGTTCTGTGGTCAACATCACCAGCTGTGACCAGTGACCTGCCCCAGCAATGACTGGTACAAGCACTGTACTCAGTAAGACTCTATGTGAAAGCTGAAGGGGGTTTATAGCCTTTACCATGTGAAGGATTTGGTGAAATTAAATCTTTCTTTGAAAGTCCTGCTTTGTGAAAGCTGAACCTTTTTGTTAGAAAATACAGTTTTAAAACTCAAAAAGTGCAGGAATAAAAGGGGATTTGTTGCCAATGAGCTCTGTGTCCTGGCAGGATGTCCTGCTGCCTCCAGCCAGGGATCTGCATCTCTCCCTCCTCTGCTGCAGGTGTGTGCACCAGCAATGGGGTGCAGGCCAGTCTCTCTGCCCCCAAGGCTAATAAGGTTTACAAGCATGAGTCGTGAACTGCAGAACAGCAGGGACCATGTCCTCTGCGGGGGGAAAGGCTACCAGACGCCTAGGGAGCACGACAGACCAGAAACTCTTTCCAACGGGGCATAAAAACAGGGGTCAGGCAATCAGCATGGTGGCTGATGTGAACGAAAGGAGGTGTGAGCATGGCAAGTGAAAAAAGAGAAGAAAAAAAAAATGAAAAAACAGGAAAAAAAGCCTTGAACTTCAGGAGAGCAGACTTGGGCTCCTTCAGGCAGCTTGTAGATGGGGTCCTCACCTTCACAGTGACAGAGGTAGCAAAGTAGAAGAGTAACATGAAGGAAAAATCTCAACCTCACAAAAAAAGGATGCTACAAATTTCAATTCCCTTGTAAATAATAAGCTTGTATGACTCAGTCTGGAGAGCCTAGTACCAGACAAGACATGAGACTCTCTCAAAGCTGTTACCAGCACCCTGGCAGGTAGACTTTCCCAGCTGCCTCTGCTAACCCACATAGCAATGCATTAATTGCTGCTCTGGAGCAGTCCACCAAAAAATATGCTTGTTTTTGTCTGTTCGTTTCCCTGCACAGCGGATGGACAGTGTCCTGACTGTCTTTGCCCAGCTGTTTGACATCATATCCCTTTGGAGTCTGAGAAGTCATTTTCAGTATTTGAAGGAAAACGTCCTAAGACAGTATAAGACTGGGATGACACATTTTTATATCACAGAGGTGGATAATCTGAGGCTGTGCCAGAAATAGTACTGAGAGAAGAAGCACTTCTGCTCCTCTTTGCTGCAGAATCGTTTCTCCCGTGCTGTGGGGATGCTTGGCATCAGAAAACAAAACCACATGTTGAAAGCCTTGAGGGGGAGGAAAAGACTCAGCCAAGATCTACCATCACTGAAGGTATCAGACCAGAGGTAGGATCAAGGACTTATCTATCAAAGTGGAACTTCTCCTTATCCTTGAGATTTTAACAAGTGTATGTAAGGAGAGGGAACAATGAGCAGTTGGCAGGATCTGTATGACCTCGTGGGACACAGATTTAGGTTATAGATTTACAGATTTAGGAGATAATTCTGAATTAGATGTGTTCAATCAGAACTCTTTTCCCATCATTCCCGCAGTGCGTCACAGGGATGGTGTTGGGAAAGCATCTTGAAAGATGCTCTCCCTCTGCTGTTCGTGCAGGTGAGATTTTCATTCTTGTCTAACAGCTGGTTCTGGTCTTTGTTTTCATCCATTCCCAGTCTCCTGCTGGCAGCAGCTTTTCTTCCCAGAAATCCCAGACAGGGTGAAAAATCTAGCGTTTCTGCAGAGAGCCACGTTGGCGGCAGTACTGTGGATGACTGTCGTCTTGGCTGGCTGTTTTGCTGCAGGGAGAGAGGAAACCTCTCAAAGAACAAAGGCACAACCTTCTGTCTATGACCAATTGCTATAACTTTTGTGAGTTTGACTCTGTCACTTGGAATAACCTGGATATCTTTCAGTGTGATTTTTGCCTTGCCCTAGGTGGAAGTGAGCATTGCTTTACCAACAGCATTTTCAAATCAAGAATTCTGCTCTGAGGAAAAGCGTTTGGCCAATTCTTTTAAAGGTTCCTTCTGCTGGTGTGGTTTTTTGTTATAATTAATGCAGCTAAAACCCACAATGTGCTTGTGTGCAGCTGTAGTGTGATGGCATGACACGATAGGCAAAGTTTAATATTTTCTTTACGGAGACAGAAAGTAAATTTGAAGGTGAAATCAATTCTTCAGTCCTATCCTACAGACTGCTGTGGTTTTGCCGTTGTGAGCCAGCTCTTGTAGCTGTATGACCTTGGGTCCCCTAATACAGGGCCATAAAGATGTATAAAGGCACAGTTTTGGTCATCCAGTTTATATTGCTAAAATACTGTCCTGACTCATGGTTGATTCCTTGCTTAAAGATGACTTTGTGGTAGGTATCTAATGCACGCCCCAAGTGCAGTGAATGCCAATATGCTCTTTCTGGGGACTATAGCAATGAGACACACCTGACTGTCCACATTTTTCAGCTTCTAGAGGACATACTGAATTTCAGGCGCAAACACCAAACCCATAAGCAGTGCGTGCGGATGTGTTTTGAAGGTGTATGGTGACAGCAGAACAGCTACAAAAAGCTGTGGGAAGCTGGAGAGGGCTACACATCTTTTATTCAAGGAATAAAAGCTCAATTAATGTTTGGGAGAGGAATGGTAGTAGTAGTGCCACAGTGTGGCTAGCTCTACCAGCTCCTCTTTCCAGCCAGGCTGTTGAAGGATGGGGTTTTGTAGACTTTCAGAGAAAACTCTCCGCAGCCCTGAGCTTTACGCTTCTCCTTCTCAAGTGACAGAATATGATTGAAAACATTATAAGGAAGAAAATACATTTGATCTCTGGCCTAGGATCGGAAAAGATCCCTAAAAGTCACCACAGGTGCAAACAAGGCTCAGATCAAGCTGATCTTGATGTGTGATCAAGAGAGGGATCCTTGGCAGGGATCTGTTGGGTTTGCCTGGGCAAATAAAATGTCCTTTGTGGAAAGCCTTGGCACCCTCACGGTGCAAAGTGCTGTTCAAATTTTAGGCTTTATTTTTCCAGTTTGCATTGGGAAAGTGACCCGAGGATTGGCTTGCAGCATTTTGAAAGCTCACTTTCTGTGTGTCTGCGAACAGTGAGGGTCTCTGTTTTCCCCTCGGTGCTTGCAGCGTTTTGAAAGCTCACTTTCTGTGTGTCTGTGAACAGTGAGGGTCTCTGTTTTCCCCTCGGTAGGTGCAGCCCCGGCTGACCTGGTTGAAGGATTATGAGTGAAAGCGGGCAGCGTGGTGCAGCACCTGCCTCCTCAGCCGGCTTGTCAGGCTGCGCGGTTTTGATGTGAGTAACTCCTCACCTCTTCTGACCTCACTTGGCAGCGGGTGCGCCTGCCCAAACAAGCCGCCTGTTTACTTATACACCAAGCAAACAGCCCTGAAAAGCCGATAGTGCTGCTTTTGAAGTGCTGAAGAACTTTGCCATTCATTGTCAAGATCAGAGAGGCTGCATTTATCGGGGAAGCTGGTCTGAAATCCCTGCTGGAGTTGTTTGCTCCTGTTTCTTCTCTGATAAGTCATCTGCTTCCATCCTTTCCTTGAAGTACTGTCAGAGCAGAGTCCCTGCAAACAGTACCGGTGTTTTAAGACTTTCCAGGCAAAGAAGAGATGATGGTTTCCCTTCTGTAAAGCTTGTGCTGTGCTGAGTCTTTTTCTTTTGTAGGAATGCTAACTGAGGCACTCAGTCACCTGGAAAAGCTGCTTGTAGCCCTGTGTGGTACTTCAGCAGAAGTTACCGATACCTCTTACCCATCCTAAGCAGGGCCCTGGCAAAGTAACGTGAGAAATCCTCGTCAGCCTTTGGATTTGAGGTTGCAGTGTAAATCTCCTTTTGATGAGTAGATCAACTTCGAAATGTAAGATGCTTGAAAGTTTAAAAAAATAATAAATTAGGAATACTTTTATCTTTAGCTATGTCTTGCACCAGTGTGTACCATGAGAAAGGCTGGCATCTATAGCCTCTCTCTGTACCACCCTGGTATCTCGAGGATTGCTGAGGTGGTGGTGTCCCTGTCTTCTGTAAAAGCATTGATCTGACCCCTGTGGTGAAGGACACAGACAGATACCACTATCACCCCTTCTTAGGGTCCTTTTAACAGAAGAGGTTAGGAAGCATGTTAGTAGCTCTTGGTTGGCATTACTAAAGGCTGGGAAAGCTTTTCCTGAAACTACTTGTTTTCTTGCAGGTGGTTGAGACCGGCACATAGCTTCAAACTTGCCAGGGAGGGCAGGCTGATAGAGTGATGGCACGCTTGCTTTTTCTTTAGGAAATGATGCTGAAAAACAGTCAGCTTCAAAAAAAAAAAAAAAAAAAAAATGAAGTGACAGAATCTACCTCTGGTTTTGTAGGAGTCCTGGGTTTTGGATGGGAAAGACAATAAATGAGCATTTTGGCTCCGTGAAATCCTTACAGAAGAGACTATAAGGAGAATCAGCCTTTCACTGCAGACAAAAGTGGGGCAGGTGGTGGTGACAGGGACAGATATGGGCTGAAGTGCCCCAACAGGCACAGACATCCGCCTCTGTGCCCTCATCATCCTCTGCAGACTCCTTCGGCTGATGTGTGTGGCTGAGTGCATGCTTTAACCGTCTTTCACCTGGAGCGTGAGTGCTGCCTCTCCTCCCCTGGCTCGGAGGTGCACTGCTTTGGAGTCATCAGCTGGCTGGGTTTCATCTATATGACAATCTATAAGGTACCTATAGTGCTTCCAAAATATTCTTAGGCAGAGATAGGGAAGCCTAAATCCTAACATTTGACAGAGCTTTCTGGCATTACAAAACATACAGGAATTGTGACATTTTTTCACTTTCTGTCACCTGTCTTGTAGCAAATGAGCATGGGTCTTGTTTTCAGTAAATAAAAGTTTAATGGAGTCAAAGCTTCTTCTGTAAAATCTCACTGCTTACATGGATGTGCAACTATTTCCTCTCTAATTGAGTGAGTATACTTTAATTTTGGTTATAAAATACTGTATATACAGTATATGGGCAGAAAGCTGGCTGCTATAAAATGCCAACTTAAATTCTGAGCCAGAATAGAGTCCCTGAACAAAACATTTGTATCCTGTTGGCTTAATGATGCTTCTGTTAAAACCGTTCATGTGAGGAAATAATATCTGTGATAAAACTCAACTTCTTCACCACGTGGCCCAGGTACCTGGGATTTATAGAGAATTCCTTCCAGAGTCACAAACAGCCAGTCAGTACCTAGTTTGCTTTTCCAGAAGTTACACTCCTGATTCCTTCCCCAAGTTTGGAAGAGAAACTAAAGTGGCTTGTCCAAAAATAGTGTTCCCACCAACTTTCCAGAACGTGGACATTAATGTTGTATTCATATATCTTGTTCCATAAGGGACCTTTACCATTGTGTAAGAGTACAATGTTTGGATCTTTTTTTAATATATTTTTAATGTATGGAAAAGTATCCCAAATAAAACTCATTCGTGTAATGGGAAGTTTTCTGTTTGCCTCTTTCTTGTGCACTTGGACATAAAGGCTTGTGATTGCTGATATTTTAATGTATGAATCAAAACCTGTCATAGGAGAAAAATAAAGGGTAATATTTGATGGTAAGAAACAATGTGTAGCAAGTAAGGAGACGTATCTGGTTCTCCATAAAAACTTTATACTTTTGACTTGGTTATATATTGTGATATAGCTTGTGGGGAGTTCTTTGGCCACTTGTAACTGTTTCCAAGCTCTAATCTCATTTGGGGGAGTGACATTCTTGGTATTCCAGAAATGTCTATTATTCCTGATAGTCTATGGGATGTGCGGGAACATCTTTCCTTTTCAGCATCCTGAGATGACGCGTTGTTTCTGATTTCCAACACAGAAAAACAGTGACAGTACTACAGAAAGTCCAGAAAAGGTAAGAGCAGAAGAAACCAGGATGTCTAGGATTCCTCTGCTATAGCAGCCTCTTAGACTGGCCGTTGTTGTGAGACACCTCTGTTATCAGCTGCCACACCTGCTGGAGTGCTAGTATTAAAGACTTCACAGGAGTCCATGATCTGTAGTTTATAAAAGCAGCTGGCACCTGGAAACAATTAAGTGGATTCACCTGACGGAAGCGTAATACCAGGTTAAGATTATTTATGTTTTCAGTGATTTCCTCCTCCTGCATTGTATTCTCTTAATCCAGGATTAAATTCTAATTGTGGCTAAGTACCTGGAAAGCTCATCAATTGGAATGGAAGTTTCAGGAAGCCAACATATCTGAGGTTTGAATGGGAAGGTGTGGGGTGTGAATCTTACTACCTTGCAATTTCTGGAGGTTTTGTGCAAGTCAACCACAGATTAAATAAAAGGACTGAAGACAGAATCCTTGCGTGGTCTGTTCTCGGGCGTGATGGCAAAGGCAGTGGAATGAAAGCTCGGTGCCTTGCGTTTTGCTCTCATTTATGCTGCCTGCACACAGTCTTGTATGAACACATTAATATGTGTTGTCTGTGTTGGTTTGCTAGTTTGGATGTTGGAACTGAACATGTAAAGCAAAAGCATTGTCAGAAAAGAAACACACTTTTTTCAAAGTGGTCAGAATCAATCTGTGTGCAATTTGGCACAGGACAAGAATAGATGGAGTTAAGCAAGAGGCTTGCTTTGTAATTTTTATATGAATGAACAAAACTTCACTGAGGCCAGTGCAGCTCTATCCAGCTACTGCCTGAGCTGTGTAACCTGTAGCCCCATAAATGCAGCTATTGCTGGTTATCTGCCACAGGCTATGTACTGACGGTGCAGTATTAAGGCACGTCAGGTTTGGTTTGCTTCAAATTGCCTTGGCCTGCCTGGAACTTTGTTGTAGCTGGCTTAGCTGTGACAGCATTTTATTTTATTTTTTTAAAATTTATCGGGTGATTCTTTCCTGATTTGTTTCACTTGTTATTTTTTTATTATCGTGGAATATAACCACAATTTTTGTACAGACAGGAGTAGCAAGTAGTTATTCTGTGTAGAATAAAATATTTATGACACCGTCTTAATGGTGCGATGTAGGAGAATATAGGCTTGGCCTGGTGGTGGAGAGCTTGCCCATGGCAACCCAGGATGCAGGGAAAAGGGGTACAGATGTGGAGTTGTAAGAGAGATGGCACACGGTGTCAGTGAAGGCTTCAGGGCTATGAATGGCTCAGCAGCAAACAGTTACATGCAAACCTGGGAGAACGGCAAAACCAGCTTATAGGTAGCGGAGAAAATAGATAAGAAGTATACAACATATGTAAGATATTTTTTATATAGGGCATTCAGATGTAATGTGGAGTTGCAGACCAAGGAAAAAGAGCAAGGTGTACAGCATGAAAGAACATGTATAAAACTAGCCCCAAGTGGACGTTAGAAAGAGGAGGAAGAAATAATCAGCTTCAACATCATGCTCCTTCTGGCAAAGAAGAAGGAGAAACCTCTACCACCACCATCATACTCCTCCCAGCAAAAACCCAGGAAAAATTATGTCTCCTTGTAACCATTCTCTCCCACCCAACTGAAGCCAACAACCTGAAGACTTCAAGAGAAAGAGTAAGAAGGGTAGATGCTAGGAAGTATGTGTTTTATTGAACTATTATTATTACTTTTCTCCATGTTAGTATTCTTTATTTCTTTTCTGTTTCCATAAATGAAATACATTATGAGATGCTTTATGCTCCCCCCCCCCCCCTTTTTTTTTGATTCCCTAATTTGCCATATTTCCAGTAGCTTGCTTAGTCCCTAGAATGCAACTTTAAGATTCTCCTGATGAAAGCCCTGCTGAAGGCTGGAGTTGACACGAAATTGTTGCCTTTTCTGCAAAGAGTGATTTCTTCATGTGATTCAAAGTGAGAATTCGTTCGGTGTAGCTGCCTCTTAGAGCATACTTCAGAGTTTGGTAAGCAGAAAAGAAACTGTACATTTTGCCTTCTTGAACCAACATCTAAGGAATTAATTTCACTTCCTTCACAGTAATTTGTAGGTAAAAATGTCATTTACTGTTAGCAAGCAGCAAGCGTGCTCTGTATGGAGCACATCTGGCTGTGAACGGGAGCTTGAGTTTTGATCCTGTTTGTAGGTGGTAGCATCCTCTACAGTTTTCATGGCTCACAAGATTTGCAATGTCCATAAACTCTGCATGAGATTGCAGGCATGATATGACACAAGCCCGTATTTGGAGAAAAAATAATTTTCCTCCAAAAAATGTTGCTGCAACGCAGGCAGTAGAAGTGCCCAGGCACCACCTCAGCCACTGCTTTGAAGTAGGTTTGTCTAAATGCGCTGCTGTAATGAGCTCGCCAAGGATGACTGGAAGGCTTTTAAAGCCCAAAAGACAAGTTTTGCTAAAGCGTGAACTTTTTTAATACAAAAAAAAAGTCAGTGCAACTCATGAAGACAGGTTGGAAATAAAAGTGCTCAAATCTTAAACTCCCCCCGTGCCGCAGAGAGGCTGCTGCCTTCCAGCCAGATTTCCACTTTCTCAGTGGTTGCTGAGAGTGGTCTGCTTCTCTTCCTTAGGAAACTGTATCATCTCAGAAGCAGGACTTCCAGCTCTTCCCTGCAATCTCTCATGAACTCATGCAGCTGCCCAGAGGGTTTGAGTTTTCTTTAGCATCACCTAACCTGCTCAGGGTAAGTTCAGCTCAGAGCAGGGAGTTTAAATAATGCAAAGCCTCAGCCACCTAGTCTGCACAAGGCAGTTTTCCCTTCTCTTGAATCATCTTTCAATATGAAAGCAGCATCTATTTGAAGCTGCAAGGTAGTCTGTTTTCATCAATCGAAACACAGTGGTCCCTGAGAAATTGTTGATTTCAAACTGTATATTGCAGTAATAAGCGCTAACCATGCATTTTTTCCTGACAGGTAATTTTCTAGATCTGTCGCAAGCTACAGAACACAATTCCTCAGAGAAACATTAGCTTTCAAGATTGATGAGAATAAGAGTAAAGTATGAAGCAGAGTAGGCTAAACCCCATTAAAGTCATGGCAGAAGCATGAATTTTACAATATATTAATTATATGAAGTAATAATTTTCTTAACTGAATTTGGCAAGTAACCTAATACAGGAGCTGAAGTGTGGTTTGGACATTCGACTAGAGATTGCGTTTGTTCTCATGCCAAAATGTCACAGCAAGGGAAGAGCCCAGGGTTAGACAGGCACGTTCTGAAATATAAATGGTCAAGCATGTTTCACATTATGAGACTCTTCAATTTAAATGTTTCACTTGTGTTTTTCCTGCTATAAATTTGGAGGTCACTACGTTACCACCTGTTGAAACTCAGCCACAAAAGAGCAGATTCAGGTCTGCTTTCATCCAGGTAAGCACGCAGCTGGCACAGTCATTCCCGTTCATCCATTGACATGTTTTAAGCGTTACTGACCCAATCTATTTATAGGAATTTTTTCTTTTAAATCAGTGGGCGTTAGAAAAGACCCCATGCAAAGCATACCAACAATTTTATTTTCTTGGAAGCAGTGAAGAAATGCATGATATGATTTTGGAAAAATCCTGTTATGAAATTCATGGTATGGAATGCATTTTCTGTCTGCCTGGATGAAATCCGTAGGTGTAACTGATCCTTGAATTATTATTCTTTGCAAGATTAAGTGGTATCTTGTTTGATACTGACAGTTTTTAATTTTATAGTGAATATTATAATGAAAAACGTGAAGTGGAAATTGAAATAATCTATTAAAAAAAATCTGTGTAGAGATGTTCCTACTAATGTACTATTGGATTTGCTTTCAAACACCTTTGATGCTTATTTCTGTAAAATTTCACAAATCTTTATGCCTTCCAGAGACAAAACTGTATTTTTATTCCACAGAACCAGCTTCTATCTGCTTGTGGTTTATGTAACCCATGTCTTTTACCTCCTCTCTCTTTTGTCCATTTCTTTAATCCATATGTAACAGGTATCATGCAAAAATAGTGCTGTGAGAACCAACATTAGCTTTCTGATAAAATCATTCCTTTAGCAAGAGTCTAATTCTCTGTGCTCCTCAGGGAAAAGAGATGCTTGTTAGAAACATATATGTTTCGTGTCACACACTGATTTTAGTTCTTATTATTTTTTTGTTACAGCATACTGGAAACAGCCAGTAAACTGAACTCTGATGTAACTAGCCTGAGTCTTTCAAGGCTAGTGATGCTGCTGTGATTCTTGCCTTATTGTGCTGGTATATAAGTCACTTTGAAAGCATTTAGAGAGGCGGATAGGGATTAGAAGGCTGTTGCACAATTTTAGCAGCCCGAATAGGGGCTACCTGCTGGGCTATATCCGCTCTAAATTGGCTTTGCCTGTCGCCTCAGAGACCATTGGTTGCTTCGGAGCATCCATACAATGGGCTTGATTAACCTGTTGTGTCATAACCCGGTCATTTCATCACCCACTTTAACCAGGTATCCTCAGGTATTGGTGGTTTCAGAGGGGTTGCTTCCTTCATTTCCCTTCTGTATTAAACCCTCAAGTGCAGCCATGACTATTCATTCCTTATATTTTTTTCATACATAGCATAGAAGACTCAGCTTCTGTTAGACTTGAACATGTGGCTTACTGATGGTCTCAAAATCCATATTCTGCTTTTCCTTGGACCAGTAAGGCCACTAGATTTCAGGTGGCAGGGTGGGTGCAGGGCTGACACCCGTCTGCTCATGCCGGCCATGTGGTCCCTTCCCCAAAGGTCTGAGGAGAGCCGTTGGCAGGAGGACTGACCCATCGGGCTCGTGCGAGCCTTGCTGATCACCACCAAAGCATTTAGAGACATGAAACGAGGTGACTATAATCTGCAGAGAGAGATTGCTCTTGTTTGGAAGTATGGTGACCCCCATGGACACATGAAACAAACCACTGGAGTTTGCAAAGCCTCTGTCCTTTATTGAAGGATGCCAAAGGAGGGAGTAAGGAGAAAACTGCAGATAGGCCAAGATGTTAGTCAGGGTGTGAAAAAAAATATCGTCAAAAGGGATGCTTGAGTATGAAGAACAGTTCACCCCTATTTTTTTTTTTTTTTTTGGTCCCTGATATTAAAAGGCTAATTATTTTTTTTCATCTGAAGGTGCAAGGCACCTTAATTTAAGAAATTGTTAAAAGGCTATTTTTTTTTTTTTCGTCTCAAGGTGCAAGGCACCTTAATTTAAGAAATTAAAGAATAATTTCTCACTGAAATGTAAAGCTGAATTGAAGTGTCCATGGAGCTGCAGTATTTATACGAAACCAAAAGCAACTTGTAGCTGGGAAAAGTCAAGTTCAGGCTATCAAGGCGGAGCTGCAGTATTTATACAAAACCAAAAGCAACTTGCAACTGGGAAAAGTCAAGTTCAGGCTATCAAGGCAAATAGTATGATTTGCCTTTTAATGTAGCAAAAGGAAAATAATTATTAGTTAGTCCCAGGTCACTCTGTCACAATCTTGCTAAGCAGTGTGCCTTAGGAGGTTTGTCAGGGTTAAACTCCAGCTGTCTTTACACAGCCTGAGGAAGAGGTTTCTAAAAAAAAGTCATGAGGAGGGTGGGCTGTGGCTAGCAGCTGGGAAAATCAGGCCCCTGGGCTGCTTAAATGGGACCTGCAGGAGCTGCTGGACCCATGCTGCAGACTTGAAGTCAGAGACAGAGAGCACAGCACTCCAGTGACCTGTAAGAGCGAGATGGCTGGGGACGAGTCAAGCCTAGCACCCTTGCAAGGGACTTCGGTGAAGCCAGTGTGTGGGTCATTGTCCTCACCATTACCAGGAAGGTGAAAGATCTTTCACCACGATGTGGCTATTTCTCCCTTCTCGCTGTTAATGATTGCTCTCCCCTTTTATTCTGGTCACATATTGCCTTTATTCTCCTCTCTCATGGTGAGGCTGTCATAACAAACACAGGGAAAGCTTGACAAGAGGAATTAGTCCACCTGGGGAGAGAGAAAAGCAGCCCATGGGCTATGTTAAAGTCACATTCTCAGGCAGTGACACCTCCCTGTTGTTTTTTACTGAACCTTTTTTTTTTTTCAATTGTGTGAGAATTTTTCCTCAATTTCATTTCAACTGAAACTCGACTGGTCTCCAGTTAAGACAAAATGACAAAAGTCCTGCTGTTTTAGCTACCCATCAGTACGCACTGTGTTTGTGGGTGTGAGCCTGTAGGTTATGTGGTATCAGCCTATTTTAAAGGAATTTGCCTTTTTGTCAGATACGTGCTCTTCATTAAAGCTTTCTGCAGGTAGCAGTAATACGGATACGAAAAAAATCTGCTGTCTTGGGCTGGGCACAGATTCACAGGCTGTATTAATAGACGGGATTAGTGAAGAAGTAGAGGTCAGAAGGCTGCAAAGCTCCTGTCCCTTGAGATTTCCTTCTTTAGATCGTTAGTCTCATTGTGGAGCTCCCTCGACCACAGGGAGCAGAAACTGAGGAGAAGGCTGGAACCATTTTATTTCACCGGGACGTACTGGGGAAAGGGCAATTTCTGGGTGATAAGCTCCGCTGAAGATGTCTGTCTCGTCTTCTCCGCAGGCACCCTGGAGGAACAACAACATCAGTTTTCTGAGCAGAGAGGCAGCTGTAACAGAGCAAGGAGAGACTATCATAGGTTTCTACCTACTGGCTTTAGGTATGTACTCAGTTTGGAAGTGAGAGGAAGCTCCTAAGTAGAGTTTGGTATAATTTCATCCCTAATGGATGTTAGAAAATGCAACTTTTTTTCTTCAGCTATTACAAGATCAAAGAGGTACAGCTTGCTTTTGTTAAAAAGAGATTAATAATCAATGTAGAAATCTTGAGAAAAAAAATAGTCAAGCTTGTAAACTTTTAACTGATGCTCACTAAACTTAGTATGTGGGATGATAAAAAGGTACATTATCAGAGGAACGTGATACTTCTGTGACTTACCATGTCTCAGTAGCACTGAATTAATGTTCTGTGATTTCCCGAGTTTTGACTGTTGTCGGTCAGTTGGCATCCTACAAGTGCCTCCTGCAGAGACAGAAAATACGGTTCTGTAGTTTAAAACTTCTTTTAACTATTTGTACTTCTCTTGCTTTGAACATTTGACGCACATAGAAAAAAACTTCTTCAAACAGGATCTATGAAAGCTTTAAGTACTAGAAACTGATGCTGTGTTAGCAGTCACAATACAATGCCCTGTGTTTATTTTGGTGCTGCTGCAAGACAGCTATTGTAAGTGTATAATAAGGATTTGAAAATGGCACCCAGCATGAGTCTCTTTGATCCCAGTGCAATTTTGTTTTGTTTGTTTAAATATTGCCTATTTGGGGCAGGATACAAGGGAACTTTATGAAATTTCAAAGAACGCAGGTTCCCTAGGTAAGAAAAATTTTCAATCAAAAAACCTCACAGGAAAATACAAGAAAACGTACCTTTTATTAAATCTGTTCTTCTAAACAGCATATACAAAATATTTCTGGGTTTAAGTGATTAATCTAAATAGATTTTTCCTTTTTCTAAGCTTATCACATATAGCAAGTAGCTTACTAGCCCTCAGCTTATGCTTGAGAAGGTCTGTGGAAGTTACCATGTAAAATGTTAAGAGTTTTAATATATTTACGTTAGACTTTTTTTTTGTACCTGTACGAACTAGGGAGGAAAAAATTTTATTTAGAATAAAAACAGAGATTCCAGTAGAAAAATGCCTGGCTTCTGTCTTAGGAGACTTAATTAGAAGAGGGGCTGTAAGATAAATCAGAGTTGTTCCAATTTATCCCCAATCTGTTCACATCTGCGTATCCCTTCATGAATGGCTGGGAAATGGCTGCACCATCAGCTAATGAATTAATCAGTTGCACTTAAGACTAGAAAGAACATCTTAGGTCAGCAAGGCCAGTCCCCTGCTGTGACAATACGTAATCTCATTTACGAAGCTATCATGCTCCCTCATGTAACTAGCTAGAGTTTTTTTTTTGTATTGCTACCACTCTTCCAACTGACAGCCTGTTCCTGATTTTGTTTCCTTTCCAAGCAGAAAAAAAAAAAAAAAAAAAAAAAAAAAACCTGTGGTCAACCTTTGTATTCCTATATTAAGCGAGTGAGGATTTGGGTTTGTTTTTGTTTTTTGGTTTTTTTTTTGGTTGGTTGATTCTGGGGGTTCTTATTATTATTATTTATTTCTCTCCTGCCATAATATCCTTTCACCTCTCAGCCCAGCATATCACCCTAGCAGCCTTTTCAGCCTTTTATGCTGTATTTTCCAACCTAGACTCTTTTTCTATTATTTTTTTTTTTTTTTACTTATAGCCATGGCTGAATAGAGCATACAAGCAAAGTCTTGCCATTGCCATTCACATTAATATTTACACTTCCCCAGCTCTACTGATCACTCCTAGTGTTGCCTCTGCATCACACTGGTAGTTCAAAATTCTTCCATCAATCAATCAATCAATCAATCAATCAACAGAGGTGTTTTCCTCTGCTGCTTCCTAATCACGACCCCACATCTTCTAGCAAATACTTTGTAAAGTACCCAGGGGCCTGAGCTTTTAGGTTGTATGTCTTGTTGGGTTTTGATTGCTCCAGATTCTTCTGCCAAGCTTACAAGTGCTTGGCATGTCATAACTGCTATTCTTGAAGCTTACCTCCAGATTCAAAACTCAGGTTGCCTTTCTTGCAGAGTATATTTAACCAGTAATAGCACTACTCCAAGTCAAGTACAATGTGGATCTGTTTAAAATGTGATGGAGGTAGGTATACCTTTTTGCAGTAGGAACTTTTGAAAAAAATCTGTTAATAACACATAAATCAGAGAAGTCCCCGTGTCTTTTGCTCCTCAAAGGTCTATTCCCACACTTGCACAAACACCAACCATAACAAATGACAGGTAATAGTTGTATGTACGCAAATCACTTTGTCTGAGGAGCGGTGATGTGGCAGAACAAAGCACTCTGTTATGCAGACACCCTCTTGCCCTTCTGGCAGCAGAGGACAAGGGCCAGTCCATGTGCTGCCTTCCCGTACGTCCTTTCTTTAGGGGTCTGGAAAGACAATCTGCATTTGCAGGAGTCTGTGAGTATTTCCTTACACAAGTCCCAAAGATGTTCATATTTCACACTTTTGGTTTTTTAATGCCTTGGAAAACAGCTTCAGTGATTACTCTTCCATAACTTCTACCAATTTTCTTCTCTTTGGAACCTAATATGCCAGTGCAGCTTTCTGCAAATTCTGACGTACATTTCCGACACCAAAGGAATGTATGTGATTGGTGTTAGCACGTACCCAGAAGATGGGGTTCCTCTGAATCTCTTCACCTTTGCAGGATGAAGTCCAAAAATCCCAACTATCTTTGGCCAAGTCTTTTCACAGTCACACATCTTGACAGAGAACATCAATATCCAAGAAGAGGCCTCTTTGCATGTCCCCTTCTGGAAATTCTTGCATCACAGGTAGCATAGATGTCATATGTGATAGACAGGACACTGATGTATGTGTCATATATCATACACCAGCCAGGTTCTCACATACAGATAGAGGGGTTCTCAGAGTGCTGTATGGAGACCGGAGCTCCCAGCCCGTGCTGGAATAGCTATGGCACACTAACGTCACAAGCCAACCAGCATCAAAGTGTAAGAGTGCATTTTGCAAACGCTGATGGATTTGGAGATCACGACACTGCTGCTTGGCATCCGAGTCACCACAGAATCACAGAATGGTTTGGGTTGGAAGGGACCTTAAAGATCATCTAGTTCCAACCCCTCTGCCATGCAATCATTCTGCTTCCTAATGTTTCTGCAAGGGGACAAGCAAAGTGAGGAAAAAATGCAATGCCAATCCCATAGTGGTGAGCCGTCACAGCGTGCTTAGAGGGACTAGCTGCAGGCAATAGCTGACACTGCGTTATCCTTCCTAGGTCAGCTGCGTCAGCATCCCCTTTCTGACGGCAGTGCTCTGTTTCCATCCTTCCCTTCCATGAGCTCAGAACTGCCTTTGACAGACAGGGGAGCTTCTGTCACTAGCGTTATATCTGACCCCTTTTTGCCTTTGCTCTAAGTGGTATAGTACTGTGGAAAATCCTTTTATAGTCTAAATAATTAGGTGCAATTTAAAGGTACTATCCACAGCTGCTATCTAAGTCAACCTAGACCGGTGCAGGGGGGGGGAGGAAGAAAGCATTTTTTTTTTTTCTCCATAATTATTAATTGGAATTCTTAAGTAAATTGTGCTTTTCTGTTTTATACACAACCTGTTCTGTGCTCATTTTCCCTAGTTTCACAATTAACTGGGACAGTTAGAAAGAACGTTTGCCATGAAAGGAAATTTTATGTTAGTATGAGAGAATGTTTATTAGAGAAAAAATTCTGACTTTTTTGTGAGTGCTCGTATCAGAAAGGTGTGCTGAGAGCATTGCCAGTCCCGTCAGAAAACTGTAACAGATGACAAGACCCAAACATGCCTTTAAATGGCACACATTTCCGAATGGTGACAGCAAACTGTTCTTTGACAAGTGACAGAATGAGCGTTATTTTGGGACACCGTTTGACAGATAAATCTGAGAAGGTAGGAAAGGAAACAAGCTATTCACAAAACATTAATCCACAAAATGATTTCATTTATTGAGCAAATAATTTCTCCACGCTTTGTCAAGTCTAAAACATGATGGCTCTTTTCCTTCCTGACAAAACTGGCAACGTGCCCTGGATAGGATATTGTGTACATATAATTAGCAGCAAAGACTAAAAACAGTGCAGGGTCACTTCACAGTTGCAAGAATTAATGACAGCTTTGCAAATTCTCTAGATTTTATCACTGTCTTAAATCAAGTTTTTTAGTCTGAAAATCTTTTACAGCAAACCTCTTCGGATAGACATTTATGCTTATGTATAGGACGTTGAATCAGGACTTGACTTCATTCATGCCTGCTCTATATCTAGATGCTCAATCCAATTTCTGTCCTAGAGATAAATTATTTGCTGAGGGCAAAGTGTAGCTTGTCTTGTGACACTGAGCCTTCATCTTTTACTCTAATTTCTTGAACTCTTCTTCTTCTTCTTCTTCTTCTGTATATTTTAAACTGTAGATGGGTGAGCTGTAACACCCATTATCCTAATTCATGCTTGTCAGATTTTAGAAGTAAAGGTCATGCAACAATATCTAATAAGAACAAGTCTAAGTACAAAACATGGTAACCTGTCTTCACTGGGCGTAGATGCAGTCATCTATGGAAATGTGGATGGCCAGCTCAGAGCTATCAGTTCCCTTGTACCAAATTAACTCTGCAAAAACATAAATTGAACATTAGCAATGAAATTGCATGCAGCCTCGGGTGTTTATTGCTTGTTCAAAAAACATCTCGGGTACACGAGAGAAAAAGAGGGTACATCTGGATGCTAAAACTTGAGCGATTTGGCAGAAATCTTTGTAAAATTGTGATGTTCCCTCTAAGCTATTCCCAAAGCTAAACAACCTCACTCTTCTCAGTCACTTCCAGCAGAGAGATTTTCAATATCCTTAATCACTCTTGCTGTCTACTTTTTCAGCGCTTTCTTTGCACAGGCTGGCGGACAGCATGCTGATACAGGACCTTGTCGACAGGGTTTCGGTTCCTGACTACCGCCAGCTGGCTTAGCAGCCTTCCTGTGCCTCCCCCAGAAATCACGGATAACAGCACCAGCATCCTGCGTGGAGCACTTTTGATACCTGTGGATTAAAATGCTCTATTAGGGGGTATTATTCCAGGGGAAGGATTACTACTGAATTATATAAGGGCAATACAACATTTTAGTGCTGCTGTCCATCCTATTCCTTCTACCTCCCAACGTTTGCAAAAGTACGAAGTACTTTTCTGTGAGTGTCTGAGGGGCAAAGGTGACTCCCTAGCTGTTCAATATTTAGAATTTATCAACACTCAGTTAACCTGTTCTGATCTGATACTGCCAGTCTCCCAGCAGCTGCTCTGTCCTGCCCTGTGTTAACGAACTTCAGTAATTGTGTTACCTGTGTATGTTGCCCCTTCAGAAGGGCCAGCATCTCTCGCTGATGAGTAGCCCATATCAGACAGCATCATAGCTTATGGAGGAAAAGTGGTGGCTCCTCTCTGAACCTTCTATTGGGTGGAAATGTGCTCAATTTCTTCCTATGTGCTATTTTTTTCCTCTCTCAGACACATTTTCACCTCAGTTGGAACCTGTCCTTTCTCACCAGGAATTCCTTAGGATGCTGGGATTGGATTTTGGGTTTGGGTTGGTTTTTTTTTCCATATACTCTTGTGAATGAATATTGCTGGCAGGAAAAAAAAAAAAAAAAAAAAAAAAAAAAAAAAGAAAGATATTAGTTCCCTTGGTTGTTTCTTTTCTGTCCTCTGTTTTATTGAGATGCTGCCTGGTGACACCAGCACCTTATAGCACTTTGAAGTTCAGCCGTTCCTTTCTGGGCTTGTGATCTGCCTGTGATCTACCCTGAGACACATAGCGCCTGCAGAGCAGCTGAGGAGATCCCTGCCCTGCCCTCACTGAGAGTGCCAGAGCTATTGCTGTGCTTCCTCCACCATTAATTTTCAACATTTTTTCCTGTTGTGCTGTCAGGGTTTGCAGGGAGAGGAGGAGGGAGGTGGTTTGCTTTGAGGTGTTCTTTTGGTTGGGGTTGGTTGGAGGTTTTTTTGTTTGGGAGTTTGGTTGTCAGCTGCTCTGGTTGATAGTATTTGTATGTGACCACTGTTTTTGTTACTCCATGGTTTACTGAGAATCGAGTTCCTCCAGGTTTTTTATCACGGTGTTAATATGCCCTACTACCCAGACAGAGCAGACATTTTAGGGACTGGATACTCCAGTGTAGGTTCTCCACCTGCTTTGGTTACAAGGATTGTGCCAACCTGCAGAATCGTACTCCCTCTGCAACTTTATTTCCCTCATCCCCACTCTCAGTGTGTGAATGTAGTTTCAAAAAATGATCAAAAATACTGTGTCTCTGTCACCATCTAAAATATGTGCATTGTTGTTTTATGTGACGTTTTGCTCAGTTTCTTCCTTAAGATCCTTTAACTGAAAACTCCCTTACCCTCCAGGCTCGGGGGAATCTAGTCTGTGCGTTCTCAGGATGTACACGTGTATGACGTTTTTAGGGTAGCCCTCCTATCCGTTACACCGCGTTAGCAAAATGCTGCTATTTACAAAGGAGGTGCCATTTTATTTTGTCTGCCATTTTAGCACTATGTCTTCATATTGACAGGGAAAATATTTCCATACCTACTGCTTTGAAAACTCTCTTGCCTTACAGAAGGTAGAGCTGACATACACAACCAACACAACTACCATCTTTGCATTGCAAACGATCCCGATGCATTCCCAGAGCGTCCTCCTCCACTGTGCCTATTTATAATGCCTAGACTCAAACAAAAAGTCAGAAACAATTCCTGACTTAAAGTGCGTGCAGGCATTGGAAACGAGACTTGGTTAAGAAACATTGTCACCTAGTGGCCAGAATAAGATATATTTGCTATTATTGATCTTCTCCTTATAAAGAGATGTATATAAATATGTATGTATCTCAGTGTATCATTGCACCAGTGACTATTTCTGGTTAATGCCATACGCTGACACGTCAGCTCTTCCCAATTCCAAAGCGCTTTAGTAAACCATGTGAGTTTGCTAAGCAAGCCAGAGCAGCAGCAGCCTGGCAGTTTTGCAAAGAGAAGTTATTAAAAGGAAATTGCTCTGCAGAAAAAGTAGCTCACGGTGCTGTACAGAGCCTGTCCCATCAACCTCCTCTCCTCCCACTCCAGACTAGCCGGCATTAAGTGCTTAACCTCTCTGTTTGCAGAACGAGTGCCTTGTCCTTTGGCATTTCAGCTCGTGGTACTCCCAGGTGGCCCGGACGTTCAGAGGGTTTCCTCCCAAGCCCCTGCCTATGTGGCACAGCCTTGCTGGCCAAAGCAGCCCAGCGGAGAAGCTCTGGGGTCCCGACATGTGCGGCTGTTAACGCTTCCTGAAGGAAGGCAGCTGCCCTCTTGCTACAACATTCAACCCACCAGCTGTCTTTCACCTTGTGAGCTCCTTTGAATATCCAGAGGTGCTGTGCAATGCTGTCATGACACATCCCTTCTCAGCACATATATTCGCCTCTTGCTATGTCAGCGTACATCCCTGTACTCTGGGATATCTGCTGCTTGTGCCTGGACAGAGAGGAGCCCGGGAGCCATCCCCTTCTCTGGCTGAGCCCCATTTCCAACAGTGAGCCTGACGCTTATGAGTAAAGTAAACATTTTGTTAGAAGTAATTTTTTTCTGCGTATCTACATCATTCCACAAAGTGGGATGCAAACTGCCAAGGTCTTGCACTGATGGGTGGGTCAACAGCCACACACATTTGGAAACTCGAGGTCTCTCCAGCTGAGTAAGTGGATGACTTTCTCCAGGTTCACAGTCGTCTCCCTCATGTTTTCCTCAGGGAACTAGACACATACAAGTCAGGTGTCTCTGTGCCTGGAGAGTAAGAGAGGACACAACTTTCTTTAAAAGTAAATGAAAAGAGACTTTAAAGCTTCTGGAAGGTCTGCTCTCAATGTTTTCTTCATATAGATTAACAGGTGTATTACTGAAAAATATTCCCACCTGGGACAGGCTTTACTGCAAGGATCCTACACTGTTCTAAGAGAAGAAACTTAATCGTATTAGCTGGAAAAGGCAACACTTCTCCAGGGAGGACTGGTAAAGCAGCTCTCAGGCTATGTGCGTGAACTCCCCTTATCCGTTATTATGTACAATGTATATAAACAGCTGCAGCTTTTGGCAGATTTCTTGTAGTCCCTGCTCCATTCTACCAATCTTTCCTCTTTCCTTTTTTCCTGATGAGTTATGTTTCATGAGTTTCGTCTGCCCACTTGGGGGAAAAAAACTTCTCCAGGCTTTTAAATGATGGATCTCTGTTAGAGGCAGCAGCAGCTCTTTGTGTTTGTTCTGTTTTATTGCTGGAGTTACTAACTTGTTCCTGCTTCTGAAAAGTACACAGCTACTTTAAAAGGCTTCATGCATAGGTTTTCCAATGGGTAAGCTGGTTTAATTTGTTTCTAGGGGAACAAAAGGGTAATTTCAGAAGAGTCATCCCACATTTACACACTGAACTACTTCTTTCTTTGTTTTCTTTTTTGATTTAATGGATTTAATTTTTTTTTCCAGGTTGGCTGTCTTGGTTTGGAAACAGCATTGTGATTTTTGTCCTGTATAAACAAAGACATCTTCTGCAGCCCACTGACTACCTCACGTTTAACTTGGCGGTATCAGATGCTAGTATCTCTGTGTTTGGATATTCACGGGGGATCATTGAAATCTTCAATGTCTTCAGAGATGATGGATTCATTATCACATCAATATGGACCTGCCAGGTAAGACTGGATTACACTTAATTAAGCAAAATGAGTGCAGCTATTTCTGTGCAAATGCTGTATATAAATAACCAGGCATGGCCACAAGAGTGAAAAGAAATACTGACTGACCTTCCAAAAGGACAGTGTTCTCTTTTGCTACACCCTTATCTGTGTATTTGATCAGGTTTTGACCAATTTTCAGTGATTTTTTTTTTCCAACTCTAAGATATTCACTATAGTTTTTACTAGTTTGGTTTTTCGACTTCATGTCATAGCTCCCACTCATGTTGGAAAGCTAAGGGGTAGCTTCAGCTCCCCTGAAGTCAAGGTGGTTGTTGGCACTTTAACATTTGACTTAAAGCAATGTAGACCCCTACTTGCCAAGGCATGTAGAACAAAGCCTCCACCCAGTACTTGGGTATTCCTGTATATTTTAGAGTGCAACTACTTGTACTACATCAGTTGTTACTCTTCAGTCCTACCATTAATTCACTGTTGGTTTGGGACTTGTGGTAGGATGAGTGACTTGACTTTATGGCACAGTCATCCCTGAACTTGGAAGCAGCTTTTTGTTGGAGAACTTGGAAAATGTTATTATTGCTAATGCTGAAACACACCTGCATAGACAGAACATAGATACATCCCATGGATAGATAGGCACAAGCCTGGCTCCCTGGTGCTTTTGGTAACATCTGTGAGAAAGATTATACTTAGTGTGAACATCTGTTTCATGAGGGAATAAAAAATCTGAAAATGACAGGATTGCCTATGGCAAGGTATAAGTAAGATCATGATGAAGAAAAGAGGGCGAGAGAAATAATCCTCTTTTCTTGGTGGCTTTTTTTCTTTCGGTGGTTTTGATGATTAGTTGGGGTTTTTTGTAAGAGGAAGTTGAACTCCTGTATAACACAGATGAAAGCATTTTTACAGCTCATGTTACCTCCCCTTCAACACAAAAACCTAGTTTACCCAGAGAGGAAGACTTCCCACAGAAGACTCTGATTAACCTGGGAGCTGTAGCTTGAGATAAAAAAAAAATAATTTTCTTGCTCAAAATGTATGTCTATAGCCATTTGGCAGAAAAGGATTTATCAAAATGAAGCTAATTATTTGCTCAGCAAAACCCCACTAATTCTCTAATGAGAACACCTACAATTGCAGTCTGAGGTCTGTTGAGGAGAAACTTCCAGGACACCTCTTTAATTTTTTTTTTTATTAATGGAAACTTTGAAATCATCAGACAAACAAATCTGCAAACTGTAAAATTCATACCCACACTCAGAATTAAACAGATTCACATTTTGCCCTGTGTTTCAAGGAGGGTTGGAGCTATGATTAAGAAAGGAAAGGTCAAATCTGGATCTCCAGGTTCAGTTCCAGCTTTGCTGCAGACTTCACATGTAAGACAGGGTAAGCCATTCAGTGTGAAATCCTGAACCGAGATCTATGGCATAAGACAGATTATAACCTTTACAACCCAGCTGGTTGGAAGAGGTAACTTTAAATGACCCCCATCCAACCTCTTCCAGAGGCTGAGAAGCACCTGCCATTTTTTGTGTAGTTTAGGGCCCCATCTGTGCCATGGCTCCTTTTTGGGGCTGTAAAAACCAGCACATACAGAAATCGACACAGCATGGCACACTGTGTCTGTACCTCTTGGTTTGCATGGGAGTCTTCTGTCAGCAGCCTTACACCTTTCTTCCACAATGCCTCTGCCTGGGAGTCCCCCTTTGGCTGACTTTGAGCTATTTAGAGTCTCCTTATGACGATCTGGCTTTTTTTTCAAAGGTAAAAAGACTGGGATGGAGGTGTCCTTGAACTTAATGTGATGGAGATGTGTAATCTTGCATTACATTAATAATGCGTTAGCTTTTCTAAACACTCTGATATGCAAAATATTAAACTTTCTGCTTTGGTAATCCTCCGTAGGCTCTAACAGTTAACATTTATCGTTTCAAATAGGAATTGATACTGTATTATACTAACTAAAAACTCAGGGTAAGCTGGAAAAATCAATTTCTACTCTGAATGAATAGTTTTAATTGGTTGTGACTTGTTGAGTGGTTGAGCTGGTTGTGACTTGGGTGAAAATCAGGAAATGTTCAACAACAGATAGGATTCCTGTTTCCATGAAGATTTTTTTCTGTGTTGGGACACACGTTTTAAGCCTAGCATCCATCATCTTGATTATTCAGCTTGACAAAACAGAAGTCAGTGATGGAAAAGTAACTTAGGGAAGTAGCCTGGCCATTTTTAGGAAGAATATTGTGCAGAAATAGGGGGAAGCTTCTGTGCATAAAAAATGCTGTGAATGTTTCTGTGCACACGTGGACAGCCAGCACAAAAGTCATTCTAAAAATGTACAATGTTAAACAGCAGTGGGGTTTTGGTTGCTTGTTTTTTGATAGTTATAAAATGTGATATATTTGTAGTCCAAGCAGAATTGGGTCTCACATCTGAAATGTGAGGAATGAGGAGCCATGAACCTCATTTCCTCGGCACAGCCCGTGTGTTTTCCCTGACTCGGTTCATTTTGCTGAGTGCAGAGGACGGCCTTACCTGGCTTTCTGTCGTTGTTCATTTCATTTGATCAGTCAGCTTCTGCTGTCAGGTATGCTTAGGAAAACTTTCTTTTCCCAAGCTCTCCTGTCATTTCTGTTTATGAAGAAAATTCACAAGCTCACCTCACTTAATCCACCTAATCCTTTCCTCTGTCTTGGGCCTCCTCCTGTGCCCTCAGGTAATATTTTTCAAAATTAAACTTCACCATACTTGGCTGCCCCAGTTAGAAGGAGTGGGGAGACAACAGACAGCTACTCCTTCTCTTTCAAAGCATGCCAGTCTGTGAAAATTCCCTGTAACAAAAGGTGCATCTCCAGCTAAAAGGACCATCTCATTGTGGTCAGAAATGTGTGCTCAGGTTCTCCTCCTCTGTATGGAAGAAACACCACTACTCTTCCCCATGCCAAACATGATTTTTCCTTTTGGAGGTCTAACAGATCTCTCCCCTCAGGAATGAGGTTGCATGGTAGGTCTGTACCCAGAAGCTGCCCCCATGGATTGCTATGTACAGATGCAGTTTGCCAAGGGTGCCTTTCAGATTCTGCTTTCTCTTGTTTATTTCTTCCCTGCTTTAACACTGTGTCTTAACCCTCTTCTGGACAGAGGGAGGACAGTCAGTCTCTAGCACATTTGGGGGTTTGCCTTTTGTAATACTATCACTAAGCAAACTCGTCCATATAGTAAAGGGTCAGGGAATATAAGTCAGTGACCGAGAGCCATCTGTTCCTCCATTGACCATATTTCTAGTGAAAAGCTACCTCAGGATATATTTTTGTCCTTCCCATATGTTTCTTATTTGTATGTTCTGCTGAACTGGAAGTGGCACTGCAACTTGTAAAAACATTGTGTGCAAATGTTCTTACATGTAGGAAGTAGAGGAATGTTAATTCTCTGCAGGTAAACACCACAGTCTCTTCTAAACCTTGTTAGTCAACCATCAGAAAGTTTTTCTTGTATCTTTATCTTGTATTGACTGCTCTTATCATGTGCTTACTCTGTTGCCATAGGCTTCTTTAGAAAAGTTCCTTATTTCTGACTGTTTCTTATAATAAGAAACATATATTCTTATATATAAGATCTATCTTGGTTGTGCACAAGAGAGCACACCATAGTTATCTCCAAGCCATGGTACCGTCACAGACATACCCACTGCCACCAGTGCGCTGACAGATGCTATTATCACAGAAGCACTCACCTCACTATCAGTCTAGGTGTCCCCGGTCCATCTGGCTGGCCAGATGGTACCAGAGCATCCCCAGCAGATCCGGCTCTGCACAGAAACAGCCTCAGGAGGATCCAAAAAAAAAAAAAAAAAAAAAAAAGAAAGAAAAAAAAATTCACGCTCTTCTGCTGTTTACTCTGTTATCCCTAATTCATTTGTGCACAGCTTGCCTGACAGCACCAGACCTGTGGCATTTGTGCATCCTGAAAGAGCACGGTGTGGCCAGGAAGCCCACAATTATCTAGAAGTGCCAGACTCCGTGTGTGCCCATTGAGGAGTACGCGACCCATGGAAATGTCTGGGATTTCTTGCACTTTAACAGCCTTTTCTGACTCGTGGTGGTGTAACTGGTGGTGTTGCCAGCTGAAATCCCAGGTAAATGGGGATCTCTAAGAAAAGCCGGCTGTGCAATAGCTCTGCTTTAACAACATTGCTGATGGACAAGGAGGGTTCCCCTCCTTCTGTTGCTGTCCTGACCACTCCTGTAAGGAGTTTCTCTTCTTGTCTCTGGCCTCAGTATTTGTTTGTTCTAAGGGCAGCGAAGCCTCCACATATAATGAATAGTTTTGGGGGTATGTTCCCAGACATGGGGTGTGGATCTGAGCACCTATGGATGGAGAAAAGTGAATCCAGCTCTCCCAGAGCCTCCATGGGGGAAAAGCAATCCCTCTGCTTTTCACAGTGACACCACTTAATTTTTGAAAGGTCTTATGCAGTTAAGGGAAGGATGTGCCCAGGAGCACCAAGCAATTCCAATCTCTTGTGGCCTGGAATAGGGCACTGAAAATCAAGAGGGAGGTGCATATGCCCCTCACCTTGTTCTGTTGGCTACTTTAGGAGCCTCGTTTGCCCACTACCTTTTGCCACATCCAATCTAGGAGCCAAGATCAGAGCCACAACTGCCATTGCGCCAGGCAAGCGACCAGAGCTGCACCCTGCAGAGCAGGTGGTCCATGCTCCCTCTTGTAGACTCAGCTTCCAGTCACTGCTTCTTGCTGACCCTTGAAAAAATCCAGCATTTTTGGTGTTATTAAATGTTTAGAGGTCTAGTATGACATTTCTGAGAAGCAATAATGTCCATCTTTTGTAAAAATTAGAGATGGAGATCTGAAACACCAAAAGGGAAATTGCAACAGTAGGAAATTTGGAGATCAATAAAGATGAACATACACGGGCTCTTTCCAGAAGTTTTGAGGAGAGGACTTATAGTCTTGAATAAATTCTTTTATATTTT